TTATCTTATGAAATGGTTTCCTGTTTGAGTATTTAGACATTCCGAAATACGGAGCTCTAGCCAAGCTACATTTTGAAGAACCATGTTCAGAATTCCTTACGGTAAATTAAAGATGGCTTGCAATGAATTGAAAATCCATATGCTATTGACTTTGTTTTTATATATATGTTTTTTCCCTTAAACTATTACAACTTTTTAAATGCGTAAATCAGGGAGAAACACAAGAAGAAGAGCCTATAAGGGTTGAATATCATAGGTTTGAAAGGAATGTGTTTTGCACTGGATCTTCCTTTGTGCCTAAAGAAGATGGTCTTGAAGAAGATGATGGTTGGATAATCACTTTTGTTCACAATGAAGACACCGGCATATCTCAAGTGAGTTCATTCTGTGACATATATGTATATTATTTTAATTGATCTTGCTCAGAATCGTAATTAATAGTTATATCCTTTTTGTTTTTCTTGCAGGTTCATATAATTGACACAAAGAAGTTTTCTAGCGAGGCAGTTGCGAAAATCACCATGCCTTGCAGGGTTCCATATGGATTTCACGGAGCTTTCATGACAATCTGATCATTTTAGGCGTAGTAGCTTTTTGTTGCAATTTTTGTATTAATTTGTAACTCTAATCTAGGTATTGCCCATTTTTTATGTTCGGTCATGTGATTATCTACTCAGCGTTATTATAAATAAATAAATAAAATATAAGAAACATAAATACATTGACCTTGAGAGAGGAATAGATGTATAATTGACGCCGGCCAATAATAAACAGAGATATGATCATAATATTTGCTAATTTTTCTTCCTTTTCTTTTTTCTCTTTTTTAACTAGTCAATGCACCAGTAAATTTTACAGAATACTTTAGTCTATATGTTATGTGTGTTTTCTTATCGGTTTCTATTTTAATAATATATTTAATATAAATTCTTTTGTATGTTTTTGTGTTAAATTTTGATTCATTTTTAAGGATAATTTAAATTTTAATGAATCATTATTGTTTAAATTAAAAAAAAATCATATATTACCTTTATAAATAGTTTCAATAAGTCTCACATATAACAAGAATTTTTTTTTATATTTCATGCCGTAAAAAATATTTAATTTTATATAGTAGGAAAATTTAATGCTTTGCACATTCAAAATAAGTAGGCTTGGTTGCAAAAATTTCTAGTTAAAGTAATAAAATAATGAGTAGTTACATTTACTTCATCTCTGATCCCCCTTGATTGTTTTAACTCAATTCAATAACTTTCTATCTCAATTGTCTCAAATAATTTCCCATCTAAAAATTTATTGGTTAAATCCTAATGTCTTAATTCTTTAACCCTTTAACCGAATCGGAATCCTAATATCTTAGAAACCCTTTTTAGATTAAGCCTTAAACGCGATGAATTACACAAGTTTGTAATTCTTACAAGCCTATGTCTATAACATGCAAGAATTTGTGTTCTACCTCTGTCTAGATTAAAATCTCAATATGTCTATTATGAATTTTAATCCTCTTTATTCTTATATGATTGATCAGGTCATACAAGAATTTAAAATTATAAATCAAGGTAAACACAAATAATTTGAGACAGATTATTATTAAAAAAATTAAACCAAAACAAGAATTCACGTCGGATCTATATCCCTAACTACAAAGAAATTAGCCAGATATATTTGGCTTAAACAAAAAGAGAAAATAATTAAAATCGATGAAGTGAGTAAGGGAAGAATGATGGTTGATTGTCACTGCAAAGCTTTGATCTTCCTTCAATCTTCGTCTCGAGCTCTGAAAAAACGAGATTCTTCCTCTAGTCTCTGCATTCCTTTTCTTCAGAATGTGCAAGAATGTCTTTTGCTTCCAAATTCTCCTCTTTATATTGAGTAGAAAGTTTCCTTAAAATTTTCCAATCAGTTTCTTAAAAATTTTCTTTTTATATTTAAAGGAAAACTTTCAACTTGAGCTCTCCGATCCAATTTATATTTTTATTCAATTGAAAATTATTGCAAAATATGAGAATTTTTGTGAGAATATTACTGAGAATAAAATAACACTTTAATTACAATTCTCATATCATTTAATTATTTTTAGATCAATTTCATATTCATCTTAACCCTTAATACATAATAAATTGGAGGAAAATCAATTTCGATCTTCCTCGGTATCATTTTTGGAAATAATTTAAAGTCTTAATCCTGAATCCGTCCCGAATAAAATTGCCTCCCGTGGTTTATTAAAAATAAAAATAAAAAATCCTTAAATCGTCGACCTGTAATAACTTAAAGAATAGCTTACTTCTGTAAAGCAAATTTGAATTCTTATTTTTAAAAGTAATGTAATTTTTGTAAGTATTCATATATTTTGAATTTACATATCAAATTAAACTAATATTTTTCTTCTTTATTAATTATTTATTCATAATGAATTCTTTATTTTTCTTAATTTATTTAATTAATAATCAAATTTCTACAATTAACGTTAGGCATGATGTGATGGGAATTATTAACAAAACAATATTCTTCTATTCAATAAACTGATTTTTAATATTTTTGAAAACTAAAACTTTCAAAGTTCTGTATTTTATATTTCATATTGATTATTACAAGTAAAATGAGAACAATTTTCCACCACTAGAAAAGGTTTGATTATCGACGGAATTTAGAAGAAAAAAATTCGTCAAAAATAACGATAAAACTTTTCGACCGAAAATATTTCCGTCAAAACTTTTGAGAAAATAATTCTCCTCAAAAATAATGACAGATATATATTTGTCTCAATTTTTGACGAAAATATATTCCGTCGAAAAAACACAATTTTCTAATTTATATTTCTCTATATTTTACCTGTTTTAAAAATATATGTGCAATGCATGGTATATTTATTCTTGTTGGAATTAATTTTAAATTAATTATATTTATGAATAAGAAGTTTGATATAAAAATGTGTATCTTTTCGTTGTTGAACGAATATGTTGTTATATCACCAAATATGTGTCATTTGAATCGTGACCTTACATTTTTTATAAATAAATAAGAATCAAAATTTTAAGAGACGAGTTTTTTTTATTAGTTTTTGTAAATTCTCTTTTTTTTAATGAAGTTTTTGTAAATTTTCTGCATGCATTTGCATTCTTCTACTTTAATGTGATCGGTCAGATTTAGGTTGATCAGTTTGATGAGGCTATTCAATGTGGAAGTATCGCCACAAGAATAGAGGTAATTCATTCTATTATAGAAGACAATTGTCTACGATTTTTGGGCACCATAGAGAGGAAAAAATTGTCTTATGGACACTATGCCCAACACTGGGCTCGTATTTTTCTTTATTGCATTTATATATTTTCGTATGATATGCTTTAACTTTATGTTATTGTATGTTTTAATTTCTTGTGTGTATTTCGTAGAACTGAGTATATTGTTGAAGTAATTTTTCTAACACTTGATTATCTCATCTCAATAATTTTTTTTTTTTTGGTAAGCTCTCATCTCAATGATTTTAACATCATTATTTCTAACAATTCTTGTAATAATTGAATGGAATTTATAATTGTTGCAATTATCTTCTTTTTTTTTTAGCAAATTTTTTTGCCATTATCTTTAGCAACATGGTCGCTTATAGAAGTACACATAATTTTAACCTATAAGAAATGACTGGCAAATAAGGACACTAGCCGGCCAGAGCAAAAATGTTTTTATTTTTACCTTAAGAAAAAATAATAATCTTTAGTGACATAATGCAACTCAACATGACATCATATATACTTCCAAATATAATGTCGCAACTATGCATTTAAAAATGTAAATTGTAACAACCGTAGGAGTAATGTGCGTAATAACTAACGAATAATTTAAAAGATTATAACTTCAGCTGAAATACTTATCCAATATAATACAAAACATCGATCCTCTAAAGATAATTAAAAACTTAAGTACTTGTCAAATGAACAAACAACCACTGAAGTGCAGTTTCCTGGCAATAGTGATTTGTTTGCATCACAATTGAACAGAGAGAACAATCATAGATGCTATGTATAAGCAAATTAAGGGATTGCTAATAATTAATGTCTGGAAAAGCCAGAAGGGAATAACTCCAAAAGTGGAATAATTGGCAACGGAATCAAATCAAACATTGCCTTTAACACGTCCCAACACACCAATGTATGATATATCTCATCACTAAATATGATTATTGTGCTTAACGGAAATTCATACAAAACCCACTTAAGCCTGTTGTCCTATTTAGTTAACTTTTAACATTTAATATTTCTTTTTATTTGATTTCTTTCAGTCTTATTAAATATTATGTTTCTAGCCGATATCACTCTATCATAAGTCTTTTTGACAAATATTTTTTATCATGTTGATCATATAAACTAACGTATATTAGTAATTTTTTTTTTTTACATAAAAAGTTTAGGATGAAGTCAGGGAAGCCTAAACCACTAACTTCATCTACAACTTATAATCAAATTAGATATTACTTATTATAGAAGGATTAAATATATATATTTAAATTTAGGGATTAATATTTCTTACGTTGTAGAAAATAATTTTATCCCTTACAGAGTCATAGTTGTTAAAATCTCGATTTATTACTACGATTTTATGTTTTTACGATTTTTTTTTATCAAAATGATTTTACCAATATTTCAAACGCTTTTACGTTTTTACGGTTTTTTACGATTTTCTTACATTAGGATTTTATGTTTTATGATTTTTTAATCTCTCTCCGATTTTACTTAAAATCTCAATTTTAACAACAACGTAATACACACATAAAAGTATATGAAACCTATATATTTTTTGTCTCTTTATATAGACCCCACATACTTGTGAAAAATAAATTTATTTCTTATAACATTAGAAACATTAATCTCTTTGTTAATATATATATATATATATATATATATATATATATATATATATATATATATAATGCTTGCTTTCGTTTCCTATATATTTATCAAGCTGGAAGTGTTGCAGCTAAACTCAACTAGTGAATGCAAAGACAAATGGCTACTTCATACATGGTACGTGCTGCAGCGAATTACTCTGTTCAGAAACGACCCTTTATCTTCCCACATAGGTTTAAGCACTCCATGACTGTAGGACTTTCCTCGGTATTCAAGGTAATTAAATATGACTCTTCATGCATGTTAAAACCTGACGTCGTTTATGTGACTTAAATTGTCGTTCACTTCACGAGCAGCCAATCTTAAGAGCGTTTCCGCAAATTCCGCTGCAAATTGATGCATCGAAAACCACGAGGGTGTGTTTGGTACAAGATAAATTTTTTGGTGACCGGGAATCATGATTAATGGAAATTCAGTGGAAATTGAGTTTACTTGGAATCTTACGAAAGAGGTGTTTGGTTCGCCAAAATATTACCGGGAATATTAGGTAAAAATTATTGATTCTATATTTGGTTTAGAACGAAATATGACTTGGAATATGAGGTTATTTTACAAAAATAACCCCAAATTATTTTTACTTTTGTAATTGATAGATTGGGTCTAGATTTTTATGTGTATGGGGGTATTTTTGTCTCAAAATTTATTGTTGTGCTTTCCTTTTTGCTTGGTATTCTGATTGGTATTCCGAATTACCATATTATTTTTGGTAATATGAATAGTGACTTTTCTTTATAAATTAAATTACCAGTAATCCTTGGATATCCGGGAATCGTAATTTATTCCTTCTACCAAACGTGGTAATTACATTTACCAAAAAAGGATTACCGGGAAAAACTTGAAACAAACACCCCTGACAGACATTAAAACTAAATTCCTTGAGGCTGTTATCGATTCATTATTTGAGTATGTGGACGAGCCACTGCTTCCATCTAAGGTGAGGTATCTAACTAAGTGGTTTCATCGATCCCAGTTACATATTATAGAGTAAAATCCTTTCAGTACAAGATAAAAAACACATAACTATTCTAAATCTTTAGGGCCGTTTGTTACAGGGAATTTTTTCGGATTTTCAGGAAATTGAAATTTTTAAAATTTTAAATTTTTAGATATTATCATAAACTGAATGTAAAAATTATATTTTTGAAAATTGAGATTTCCGAACAAGTAAAAATTTCTCCTGTACCAAATGCTCTCTTAGGAGAAAAAAGTATCCTTATTAATTATTTTTGAGGACCAATATGAGTCTTCTTTGAATTTCAGAAAAACAACAATTTTAAAGAACTAAAATTTCAAAAGATCCACAAGTCAATTTTTTTTCCTAAAAGATTAAAATAAATTTCGTATTTTTGTTGAATAACAAAAGGGTATTTACTCTATATTATATGGGAAATCATTATCTTCTTCTACATGAGATAAGAACTTTTTCCTACACAAATTCGTTTTCCGTGCTAATTAATTTTTTTTTTTAATTTAAAATGTGGGACCCACATTTAACTTATCTCTACTTTTTTTCTCTCATACTATCCTACAACATAAGAAAATATGCACCCATATTATATATACTATCTATCATTTTAATTATTTATTAATCAATAGTATTTTGCAGAGTAACTTTGCTCCGGTGGAAGAGATAGGGGAAGCCGCGTTTATCACTCACATCCAGGGTGAAATACCTCGGCATTTTCCAGAGGGTGTCTTCATTAGAAATGGTGCATCCCGTGTGACCTTCTAACTTTGGATGGGCTTAACAAGATTATGGAAAGGGAAAGATGAATAAGAGAGAATAGATTTTTTGGTGTGAAAAAATGGTTACGTAGTCATGTTATTTGATTACAATCATTCATTGATTATGAGATAAGAAAGAAAAAAGTGCATAATTTTTGAATGAGTGCTTGTGATCAAATAATATGTCCACATAACTATTTTTCCACGTTCCACTCTGAAAAATTATACATTTTTCTCTCTCTTATCTCATCATCAATGAGCGGTTGTGATCTAGGAAGCACCGACACTTCAATAACTTTGGCGTGTCGTGTCCGACACTTCCCGACACTCTCTGACACTCTCCGACACTCCCCGACACTTCAATACGCGTTATAGAAATTCAAAAAAAGTTCAAAGGTTGCGTTACGTTAAGTTTTTAGTTTCAACTATTAGATTCGTTGGATTACGATTACCATTTTATTGAGTTTAATATAAATATATGAGATATCTTATGTTTCTTTGCAAAATTGATGAATATTATAAGTTTAGTTTTATTTTTTTATTGAATTATTGAATATTAAATATAATATACACTACATAAATTAAAAATATTATTTAATATCAAAACGTGTCCTAACGTGTCGAAATCTAACATTTTTTAGAATTAACGTGTCGGAGTGTCGTGTCGTATCGTGTCACGTGTCCCGTGTCGGTGTCGGTGCTACATAGGTTGTGATCAAATAACATGACTACATGACCACTTTTTCACATGAGAGGATCCACTCTCATTGTTAGGATCCACTCTCATTCTTCCGGGAGTGGATCCTCTCATGTAAAAAAATGATCATGTTATTTGATCACAACCACTAATTTAAAAATTATATAATTTTAATATCAAAAAACAAAAATTATATAATTTTCTCTCTCTTATCTCATTATTAATGAGTGATTGTGATCAAATAACATGGCAACATGATCACTTTTTTACATAAAAAGATCCACTCTCATTCCCTTATCTCTTATTTGATCACAACCACTCTCATTCTTTCGGAAAAATCTTCAATACATCTGATGTATGGTGCATCTGTCCAAAAGAAGAAAGTTTTTGAGGATTTACGTGAAAATAAAAATAAAGGAAAGGAGTAGAATGGAAAAGAATTTTCCAAAATTAGAAAAAATGAGTACCCAGTAGGATACTACGGATTGTACTGAAGTTTCTCTCCTTTCTTTCACGCTTTTTTACATCACTTTTCTTTTAATTTTGCTCAACCACTTTTTGCATCACTTTTCTTTTGATTCTGATCTTCTCGGAATCAAAGTGCAAAATTATTAATAAAAAAATATTACAGATTGTTAATTCTTGCAAATTTTACTATTTATTTGCAGTTCATAAAAATTTTAATGGTTACATACAACAAGCTCTATTAGTGACAACAAAAGCAAGGCATTTTTATTTTGAGTCGAATTTTCTTTATACAATTACGCAGATGACTTCTGCAGCCTAGCTGTAGGAAACAAAGGTCAACACAAGAGCGTATATTGTCATAGATATTTATAATAAGGGAAATTGTTTTCTCCCGCCGGTAGTAAATAACAATCTTATGTCAGAATGATAGAAATATGTAATTGCATTTTTTTTTTCTTTAGCTTATGAGCTCCATATTTCTTGTTAATGTTGGAAAAAAAATTACATGAGAAAGGTATTGCCTTTATAATAAATATTCTAGTATTTATAGGTAAAAGTTATTTGTGGAAATAATTTGTCTTTAAGAGACCGGTTATACTTATAATCTATTGTTCCTTACAACTATTTAATTATTATTATATCAAAATCAGATTAATCGCTCGTAGAATATGTTATTCGGTTATTGTTGATTTAATTTTAGTCTAACAATAATAAAAATGATTATAAAAAACTATAAGGATAAAGAGATCATTCAAATGATGAAATTAATAAGGAGAATAGTTGCAGAAGCCTGCTTGCCATGTGTTTGAAGTTTGAACAAATAAATATTGCTAATTTATTCACGGGTTTTATGTTACATGATGTAACATAACTTTTTTACATACACAATTTTATGTGGATCTCATCTCTTGATTTTTCTCTCTCATTTCTTCTCTCTTCTCAAATGTGTGGGTAGGTTTATTATGTTATGTCATGTATAACATAACAAACATAAAGCCCTTTATTGATACTTATCTCATCTATTGCCATACGATAGGACCAAACCCACTATTCGGAGGACTCAAATCAACCAATTCTATTTTGGGGAGGACAAATAACGCTTGGGTGGAAGGAGAAGGAATGCTTCATGCTTTGTATTTCAAAAAACAAAATGACGGGAGCTGCATCGTCGTCTACAACAACCGATACGTTGAAACTGAAACATACAAGATTGAGAAACACAGTAACAAACCTTTGTTTCTCCCTTCAGTTACAGGAGATTCATTGGCCGTTTTGTCTTCGCTTCTGCTAAACTGGGTAAGCATTCTTTTTAGCATATTTTGTTCCAACGACTAACAAGCTCAAATTAGTCTCATTTAAGATTATAAATAGACTATAGTGCCCAATTATAAAGGAAAGATATATTGAATTAACTAAGACTAGCTAGTAGATTTCAGAAGCAACATATATTAATCGATACTCCATTACGCTGGCCCTAGCTATTTTTGCCGATTAGCCTTGCATTTATGTGTGTAACATTTATTTTTCGCTTAAAGTTGATGGTTTTATAGAAATTTTAAACATCATTAACTTAATGATATATGAAATTTAAAACATTTTTTCCACCTCATTTTTACTTCTTTGTTTTTTGGTAAAAGTTCTTTGAATATCTTAATAATTGAAATTGCTTCTATAAGTTTACTCTAATTAAACTAGTAAACTTAAACTTAGGGAAAATGTTTCTGCAGTTAATACAGATAAATTATCTGCATTTATTCTCAAAACGATATCATTTTGGTATTCAAATCTTAAAAAATTATAAATATAAAGACTATTATAACCCTGAAATAAATTAAAATTACAAAAATATCACGATTCCCGCCCAAAACGACGTCGTATTGGGCTTACTGCAGATAACTTATCTGCAGTTACTGCAGAAAAAGCGAACCTTTAAACTTATCATTAAAATAAAAAAACGAAATAAAAGATGGGAAAAATGTTTCTGCAGTTAATGAGTTATCTGCATTTATTCCCAAAACGACGTCGTTTTAATATTAAAATTTTAAAAAATTATAAATATAAAGACTATTATAACCTTGAAATAAATTAAAATTACAAATACACCATGATCTCTGCCCCAAAACGACGTCGTATTGGGCTTACTGCAAATAACTTATCTGCAGTAACTGCAGAAAAAGCGAACCCATAAAAGATATCATTAATCTCAAATTAAAAAACCTTGAGTATTTATCAAAAAAAAAAACCTTGAGTTTCTTCTTTTGTGTAATCCAAGCTCAAATTAGTAGGGTATTGTTGATATTTCCATATTAGATCAGTCATAATTATTAAACCCTTATCTTTTTCAATATTTGAATTTGCATATTTTTGAAAAAATAATTTTTAAAAAATTTCTCTCACAAAATTTTATTATAATAAATTAAAATAAAATATAAGTTAATACGAATATTATACACTTATATATGGTGATGCTTGGTATATCTCCACTAACAATGTTACTACCAAACACATCACCTAAAATAATAAGATGGTTCATAATCGATAACGAAAGTAGTAAACTAAATATTGTTCCCGAATCACTCGCTATATATATATATATATATATATATGTGTGTGTATGTGTCTGTGGCTCCCATGGCTTCGGAAACCACATCTACCATTTGAGGGCGTGAAAATTGTTACATAACAGAAACAAGTAAATTAAGGTTTTTATTTTTTAATTTGAAATTTATGGTGCGTCTTTTTATCTGTGAGTTAACTAGGACTTTTAAGTTTTTAATGGAACATATAAAAAATGGTAACAAGTGACAAAAATGTTTCATATGTTAATAAAATGGGAAAAGTATATCTCATATTAAAAGAGGTAAAATTATGTCATTTTAAGTGAGAGAAAGAGATAGATCATGGAGGAGATAGAGTAGAAAAAAAAAGTATGAGTCTTACCTTTTTTGTAAGAATGAAATGACATAAATTTTATCATTTAAAAGGACAAATATTTTTTTTTAATAAAATAAGAAAAACCAATTTCTAGTGCTGTACATAGGAGAATGGATTTCCTGCATATAGGGAAGGGTTAATCTTTTCTTATTTTACATGAAATTTTTTTTTATGTTACACACATAATTAAAAGGTAGGTCCCATCTTTATTTTTTTCTCACTTTTTTATGAATCTCACTCATATATTGTGTGAATAACGTGACAAAATTTTCTCATATAAAATAAAAAAATTAATCGCTATAAGAAAATAGGGTGGGACGGAAAATCAATTTTTCGTGCTGCATCGGGGAAATTAATTTCCTAGGGAAATAGGGTGGGGGCCACTTTAAAAAAAAAGAAAAAAAAAAAGAAAGAGGGAGGGTTTTTTTTTTTTGTAACGAGGAGGGGGAGTTTTCGATGTCTCCGCGGAAAGGGGGAAATGTTTTCCTGCAATAGTAGAAACTATTCCCCAGAAAATATTGGTGCATATTTTTAACGGTATTTAGATTAAGTTTCGGTAGTAGATCTAGTTATTGTTTGGTTGAAGTTGAAGGTCATCTCGCGAGTGATGAATTATCTTCTTGTGGATTTCACAGTTGAGATTTGGAAAACCAAATAGAGATTATAGCAACACCAATGTGATAGAGCATTCAGGCAAGTTCTACTCCATTACTGAAACTCACATGCCACAAGAGATTGACATCCTCAAACTTAGTACTTTAAAGGACTGGGATGTCAATGGAGACTGGAATCGTCCTTTTGCCAGCCACCCCAAGGTTTCTTTATATATATATAATCCCATTTTAAGGTTTAAGTACAACACATTAATTGTTTGCTTAATACAAAAAACTTTTTGATTTGTTTAATGCAGAAAGTTCCAGGTAGAGGCACTACTAGAAAAAACCTGTATAGCGACGGAATTGCTATAGAGATTCCGTCGCTAATTTCATCCTAGCTATTATTTTTCGTTCCAAATTCTCTCGTAAAATCGTTTGTGAAGGAATTTGCGAGGGAAAGTAGTAATGAGGATGAAATTAGCAACAAATTTTCATAACAATTCTGTCGCAATACAAGTTTTTTCTAGTTGTGAGGAGAGCTGGTTATTTTTGGAGTAGATCCAACTAAACCCTATCTGGAAGTTGGAATAGTATCTGGTATATATTCTCCAAATGCCAAATAATATTGAGGAAATTTTACAGTGCTGATAATTGATTTTGATTGAATGGTTGTTCTTCTAGTGTGTAATATAGATAACATTCCTTTTATTAATCATTTTCAGCTAATGGAAAGGAAATGGTTTATAAACAAGACATAAAACTAGACAGGTGCTCTTTTTGCCATGATATAGGTATCACAAGCAGGTAACATTCGTTATCAAATTCACCACCGAAACTAATTATAAGCCTGGCCATGAGAACTCAGTTGTGTAAATTAATCCATCTATTTCTGGGTTTTTGGTTTCTAGGTACATTGCGATATTGGATTTTCCACTGACAATAGATTTTAACAGACTACTTACAAAAGAACAGTGAGTACAGAAACACTCACACATATATATATAGACTTAAGACTATGATAAGGCCACAGAGCATATCTGTAGATGAATACTAAGGTTTCCATGGGTTTACATGTAGATATATCAAATACGACAAGGAGAAATATGCGAGGATTGGGATAATGCCTCTCTATGGTGATGCAGAATCAATCCATTGGTTTGAGGTGGAACCTAATAGCACATTTCATGTCATCAATACTTTTGAGGATGGTGATGAGGTAACTTATCCACGAAGTAATATTTGAAACTGTCCAAGAACTTTTATTTCAGATTCGCTAATTGAACAATTGCCTACATAATACATAAAATTTCTACTTGTTGTACAAGGTTGTAATATGGGGCTGCAGAGCACTAGATTCAATAATTCCAGGACCTGAAGATGGTCTAAATGAAAACTGGTTCTCTCGTTGTTATGAATGGCGATTAAACATGAAAAATGGGGAGGTTAAGGAGAAATATCTCACTGCACCGCAACAGTTTATGGATTTCCCCCTAATCCATCCAAGTTTCACAGGAATTAAGAATAGATATGGATACACCCAAGTGATTGATCCCATTGCGAGTTGTGCTGCAAGTAACTATTTATAACCCGGTTTCGCTATTCTATTTAACAATTACACCCTTGTACTTGTCGTAAATCTAGATTTTTATTTGATGAAATGGTTTCTGTTCGAATATTTAGACATTCCTAAATACGGAGCTCTAGCCAAGCTACATTTTGAAGAACCATGTTCAGAATTCCTTACGGTAAAAGATGGCTTGCAATGAATTGAAAATCTATATGCTATTGACTTTGTTTGTAAATATATATTTTTTTAACCTTAAACTATTATAACTTTTTTAATGTGTAAATCAGGGAGAGACACAAGAAGAAGAGTCTATAAGGGTTGAATATCATAGGTTTGAAAGGAATGTGTTTTGCACTGGATCTTCCTTTCCACCCCAAGCTCACTTACATGTGCAATATAAGTTTAAAAAAGCAGTTCATCAATATCATTTCTAAAACAGTGCAATGCAGCAGATAATCATGTCATGTCTGTCAATTCTATTCTACTGATCAGAGAAATGCAGGAATACGTCTATTACCCACACAATATGCAAGACGCTACTTGCACCCACCCACAGACTCACCATCTTGTATGACGCCACATACTCAGGCTTACCGACTAAGTGGAAACAACACATACATATTATAAGTCATTGCACATATCAGCTCAAAAGCATTTCCAGATATCCAAAGCATGTAGCACAGCATGCATATAACCATACCCCCATGGGACATGGTGGAACCACAACATGGCTAAACCGAGGACACGAAAGCTTACCTTGCAAGCTAACACCCAAAGCCAAGAGTCCACAGCTCAAAGTCCAAACGCATCAGATTCACAATTTGTTATTGACCAATAATACATCAACAATCATACTCTACAAATATACAACATAAAGACAACGCCTTTTCATTACGTTTTACGTCTTAAGGCTTATCACCAAGCCATAAGCCCTTAATCACATGATTCTGACTTACATTAATTAATTACAGAAGTTCAACTTCCTCAAACTAGGGTCCACAAACTCCCAATAGCCTACTGTATGAACAGTACAGCTACTGTTCTTCGAAAACCCAGAATATCTGGATATTCCTCGGGAACGTATCTGGATATGCATTATTCGGATATCTCACAGTCAATATCCGGATATCCAATATCCGAATATCACTCTGGAAATATCTGGATATCAATATCCGGATATCCAGATCCCTATATCCGGATATCAATATCCGGATACCCATATCCGGATATCCATATCCGGATATTCCACGGGCAAATATCCGGATATTTCGCGACAGAATGCAATTTCTGCATTTCGAGAAGATTTCCTTCCAAGGTTCCATTTTTAACACTTCTAGAAGCTTAAACATGCATCTTAAGGTTCATTGAAGTTCATATGACAGTTGGTTACTTGTTTAATTCATTAAACATGCCAAGACTTCATCTTTTAGCAACAAAACTCAAGACCAAGGTTGGTACAACTTACCACAGTTAAAATTCAGCAAAAGGGTGCTCTTGGAGCTCACACAATAGCTCCAAGGTTCTGACTTTAACCCCAATCGAAAAATGCCACTCAAGCTTGGTTCTTTCTTCACAAAGGTTGACACTTTGAAGCTCACAAGCCAAGAAGAAAGCTCCAACACTACAAACCACCAACTCAGCCCCTTCACAACCTCAACACAGCCCCCAACACTCAGAAGCAAGGCCACCAACACCCTCTCAATGCTTACTCTCAGTCACCCCAAGGTGTTTACAAGGAGAGAGTGTAAGAAAATGGCCTCAAAGCTTCAAGAAATGGTGAAAGAAAGAGAAGGAGACACCAAGTCGGCAAGGAGACCACACTCAACAGCCACTCACGCACAAATCTGATGCATCAACCTAGGGTTGTGTGCATAAGTCCTATATATAGTCACTTAACCAATTAACACACAGTATTAACTTTAATTGCCACACTTAGCATTTTAATCCCCAACTCACGATTCTTAACCTACTCAATTTTACAAGAATTATCATATTTTTCTCATAATTTTCGGAGCATCTTTCCGGTACGGGCTTTTCATAGCCAGTACCAGTTTTCGGCACCAGTTCTCATTATTTTAACTTGAAACTCGTTTTACAAGTCCTACCTGTTATTCTAGTAATTATCATGCACTTATTATAATTTTCTGGGATACTTTTTTGGTACGCATTTATACCGACTAGCAGAACCGGTATCTGCATTTTTCTTCCGAAAAGTGACTTTTAGCATTCTTTCTCACTTACTTTAATTATTAGAGCCTCATAATAATTATTAGGGTCAATTATGAAATTATTTCCTAATTTCACATAATTAATTAACTTCCTTAATTAACTTTGCGGGTTCTTACATCCTCCGGGCGACCGGGCAAAGCCGCCATGCTCTCTCCTTCGCTCGCTTCGCTCACAGGTACTGCAAGAGCTACAAGACGGTGGAGGAGATGAAGCACCGATTCAGATCTTCTCCAATAATCCTCACTCTAGCGTTTTATGGAACTTTCAACTTTCAGAACAAAATGTTTACCGACAAAAGGTTAAAACGAAAATAATTATTAAAGGCTATGTTGGCTCCAACTTTTAATATGCATAGTAAAAAAAATGGTCTGCATCGACAAAAGGTTAAAATGATAAATAATATTGTTTTTTTCCACATAAAGGTTGTTGTGCTGTAAAAAAAGATGGTATGTACCCAAAAAAAAAATAGTTGCAGAATAGAATAATATGCACCGTTTTAGTAAATAAGTGAAAATATAAAGATTGGATAAAAAATCAAAAGATAAAAATTATAAGAATATTTGATTGGATATATGATGTTTTATTATTTTCTTTATATTTATGTTATGAATTTTTTTTTTGATTAGTTGTATATTTATTTTGGATTGTTATATGTATTATATGTAAACTATATTATATATATTAAAAATATTATTTAATATCAAAACGTGTCCTAACGTGTCGAAATATGACATTTGTTAGAATAAACGTGTCGTGTCGTGTCATGTCCCGTGTCGCATGTCAGTGCATCATTGCCTGCGCATGTGAAGCAAAATTAGTGAAAATTAATGAAAAGTAAAAGATGAGAGAACGCTCTTCCCATCTTATTACAAATCACTAATTTTAAAAATGATATATTATAAAATTACATAATGTCTACTGATAGGAAATTCATAAATTCAAACCCAACTTATAAAATTATTACAAAAGCGATAGAATTTTTTGTCTAATGAAAATATTTACAAAAATAAATTTTCTATCGAAATTTTATTTCCGTCAAAAGTTTTGACGAAAATGATTTCCTCCATCAAATGTTTTAAACGAAAAAAGAATTCCGTCAAAAAATTTGACGGAATGTTTTTCGTTCAAAATTTCAATGAGAATGTGTTTTGACGAAAATTTCGAAGGAAATTGTTTTGAGGGAAATGTTACATTCGAAACTTTCGACGAAATTTAGATTCTCTAAAGAATTTTGATAGAATACTTTTTTCGTCAAAATTTTTTATGAAAATTTTTGACAAAAATGTGTTCCGTTGAAAATTTTGATGGAAATATTTTTTAGCAAAAAACTTGACGAAAATATTTAGTCTAAAATTTTCTATGGAAATGTGTTTCACTAAAAATTTTGACGAAAATTTGTTTTTGTTGAAAAGTTTAACGAAAATGTTTCCGTCAAAAATTTTCGCCGAAATTTGAATTCTGTAAAGAATTTTATCAAATTTTTTTGATGAAAATGTGTTTCGTCGAAATTTTTGTTGAATATGTTTTTTTGTGAAATATTTTGAGGAAATTTAGATTCCGTAAAAAAATTTGACAAAATTTTTTTTCCGTCAAATTATTTTACAAAAATATTTTTAGTCACAAATTTTGATGAAAATATTTTTCGTAAAAATTTTTGACATAATTGTTTTACGTTAAAAAATTTCTTTTAATTTTCACATAATGAGTGTTGGTCAAGTTTTGAGTCAATGGGTCAATGTTAAAACAAGTCAGGTCTAAAACTGATCCAAATAAAAGTGGGTCAGTACTTAAACCAGTTAAAAAAAATAAGTATTTATAGATCAAGTCAAGGTCAGACTAAAAACAAGACAAATGAACCAATCTTTTTGCACACCCTACCTACCACCCTTGGGATGATACTTACATGTGTCCTACTTACGAAAGACCACTAGTGTCATTATCAAACCTAAAACCTTAGTCAATGCATGATGCATTCAATGCTATCCGTTTAGGTAATCGTCTTTATCAATATAAGATGATTTTCGTCATGTATGTTACTTTTATGGTCCAAGTTGGTCCTTGGCCATACGTACGCAACTTGAGGGAATAAAAGAATTATTCTAATTCATACTCTAAAATTATTACTCCTCATTTATCATTTTAAGTCTTTCTAACTTAACTATTATTTTAATTCTCCAATTCAACTCAATTGTCTTACAAAACAAGTAAGAATTATTCCCATAAGTCAATAATTCAAAGTTAATGTCTTTTAGCTAAATAACTCTAAGTTTTCATGCTTTTGACCGGATAAAAGAGTGATTTTAATCCTTTAAAAGATGTATGAGTTTATCAAACTTACATATTAAATCAAATTAATATTTTTTGTTCTTTAATTATTTATTTATTTTTCTTAATTTTTTCAATTAATAATCAAATTTCTATATTTAGCGTTAGGCATCATGGGATATTTGCAAATTATCAATAAAACAATTTTCTATCCATTAACTGATTTTTAATTTTTTTGAAAACTAAAAGTTTCAAAGTTCTGTATTTTTATATTTTAATTAATATATTGATTATTACAAGTAAAATCATTTTTATCAATTAGAACAATTTTCTCAAAACATTTTTTAATTTATATTTCTTTATATTGTGCCTGTATTTAAAATTATCTGCGTAATGCACTGTATAGTTATTCTTGTAATAAATGAATGGAATTTATAATTTTTGCCATTATCTATAACAACATGCATGGTGCTTACAGATTACGCATAATTTTAACCTAATCTATCAATAGCCACCCCTATTATTTATATTTAATATTTGATTTTTAGCTTTCCATTTTGATTATTTAGCGTCTGTGCTTTAGGAGAAAAAAATTAAATGTACCGAGAACACTAACATTTTACTAAATAGAAAAAAAAATTTAGGACTTAACAAAAAATATATACATAAAAAAGAAAAAAAAAATTCTCAATTTAATAAAAGAGAGCACAGAATTTGGTGCTCCTGGTGTATTGAAATTTTTCTCATGCTTTAGAGAAATAAGAAATGACTGGCAAATAAGACACTTTCCAGTACGAGCAAAAAAAATTTTTTCCTTTTCTTAAGAATAATTTAAAAGACTGTAAGTCCAGCTGAAATACTTATTCAATATAATGCATAATATCGCGATCCTCTAAAGATAATTAAAAACTTAAGCACTTGTCAAAGACAAGGGTCACATGAACCAACAACCAGTGAAGTGCAGTTTCCTGACAATAGTGATTTGTTTGCATCACAATTGAACAGAGAGACCAATCATAGATGCTATTTATAAGCAAAGGGATTGCTAATAATGTCTGGAAATGCCAGAAGGGAATAATTCCAAAAGTGAAATAATTGGCAAAGGAATCAAATCAGCCATTGCTCGCCTTTTTTTTTTTGGGTAATCAGCCATTGCGCGCCTTTAAGAGATCCTAACTAGGGAAGGTAAATGAATCAGAACCTTGATTCGACTCGCGAAGGCATGAACATACATATTTAAAATTAGTTGTTAGAATCAGCTTTGGATTTATATACAAACTCGTTTAATAAATAAATCTTAAGCTCCAATTTAAAAGTTCGACCTTAGAGTCTCTCATGCTGGCTTAGTATATTAATTTTTATTTTTATTTTATATTTTTTATAGCACTTGTAGTAGCCTTTTTCTCTCTTCTCAATTCATTTCACCCCATTTTATTGATTAAACAAATTTTTTGAATTATTTTGTTCTATATTGTACTGTTTCGATATACATTGAATTTATGAATATTTATAGATTTATTAGTTCTGTTGATGTATATTTTGTTTGGATAAATTTTTGTTGTCTTATTTTTTTTAAACAAGCTAAACCTGACTTTAATTTTTGTAAATAAGTCAAGCCATTGGCCGATAATTATACTCATAACAGATAACATGCTTGATCAAGCTGACAAATTTAAATATAGACTTAAGCTTTTAAGACCAAAGCTCGACTCGACCTATTAACACCCCTAATCCAAACACACCAATATATGATCTCATTACTAAATATGATTATTGTGCTTAACGGAAATTCATACAATATTGACTTAAGCCTGTTGTCCTATTTAGTTAACTTTTCATATTTAATATTTTATTTTTATTTTATTTCTTTTAGCCTTCTTAAATATTATGTTTCTAGCCGGTTTCCCTCTATCATGAGTCCTTTTGACAAATATTTTTTATCCTGTTGATCATATAAACTAACATATATTAGTAACTTTTTTTGTCTTCACATAAAAGTTTAGGATCAGGGAAGCCTCTTCCATTTTCAATGTTACGATACGACAAATCACTAACTTCATCAACAACTTATAATGAAATTAGATATTAATTACTTATTATTTGAAGGATTAATATATTTAAATTTAGGGATTAATATGAGATAATTTTATTTTCTACACACATAAAAGTGTAAGACCCATATTTTTTTCTCTCCTATCTTCATATAGGTTCACATGGACCCCACACCCTTTTATGTGAATATATAGAAGATAAAAATATCTCTTACATATATATAAAAGTGTGTGGAACCCATGTAAAAAGAAGAGAAAAAAAAATATGAACCTTACATACTTTTATATGTGTGTAAGAGATATACTTATTTTCTATAACGGAACACCCTTTGTTAATATATATATATATATAAAGGGTTTTATAATTCTCATGTTAAATGAGAATTGAAATCTTATGTTGTAGAGATAAAAAGCATGTGGGATCCATGTGTTAGAAAAAATCATATGTATGACCCACGTCAGCACGGAAATCGAAGGGTGTGTAGGAAAATTTTAACTCTCGTATTGAATCAATATGAGAATTATAAAATCCATATATCAAAAAAAGGCTTGCTTTCGTTTACTATATATTTATCAAGTTGGAAGTGTTGCAGCTAAACGCAACTAGCGAATGGAAACACATATGGCAACTTCATACATGGTTCTTGCAGTGAATTCCTCTGTTCAAAAACGACCCTTTATTGTCCCACAAAGGTTTAAGCACTCCATGACTGTAGGACTTTCCTCCGTATTCAAGGTAATTAAATATGACTCTTCATGCATGTTAAAACCTGACGTCGTTTATGTGACTTAAATTGTCGTTCACTTCACGAGCAGCCAATCTTAAGAGCGTTTCCGCAAATTCCGCTGCAAATGGATGCATCGAAAACCATGACAGACATTAAATCTAAATTCCTTGAGGCTGTTGTTGATTCATTATTTGAGTATGTGGACCAGCCACTGCTTCCATCTCAGGTGAGGTATCTAACAAAGTGTTTTCATCGATCCCATTTATATATACTATCTATCTATAATTTTAATTATTTATTAATGAGTAGTATTTTGCAGAGTAACTTTGCTCCAGTGGAAGAGATAGGGGAAGACACGCTTATCACTCACATCCAAGGTGAAATACCACAGCATTTTCCAGAGGGTGTCTTCATTCGAAATGGTGCATCCCATGTGACCTTCTAACTTTGGATCTGTGCTTAACAAGATTATGGAAAAGGGGCACATGAAAATAAAATTATTTCTTTCATGCTTTTTTATATCACTTTTCTTTTAATTTTGATTAATCACTTTTTAGTTTTTACATCACTTTTCTTTTAATTCTGCTCTTATCGGAGTCCAAGTGATAATTAGTAACAGAAAAACTTGCGCATTGTTGATTCTTGCAAATTTTACTATTTATTTGCAATTCATAAAAATTTTAATGGTCACGTATAAATCATTAAGTTAGACTTGATCTATTACAAATAGTAAAATAGAACATATCTAGACTTTTAAAAAATCTATTTAAAAAACAGGTCATGGGCTTTTTTTGTACATGTCAAGCCTATAAGCATATAGGCCGGGCTACATCATATTATTTATTTTAAATAAAATTATTATTTTAATAATTTTGAATAATAAAATAATATATTTTAGTTATTCTTTTATTGAATGTTTAATAGGTTTAAACAAACTAACAGGCTCATACCAAGGTTTTTGTTTTTTAAATATAGGTCAGGCTAGACTTGTAATTTGGGACTTGTAATTTGGGACTTACACAGGTTAACAGGTCAAGTCAGACTTATTTTTTTACACAAACCTAGCATATTTAAGCCAAAACCTCAACTAGTTACATCCCTACATACAACAAGCTCTACTAATGACAACAAAAGTAAGACATTTTTACTTTGTTTATGTGGACAAAAGACATTTTTACTTTGATTTGAATTTTCATTATATAATTACTTTTTACACACATGACTTCTGCAGTCTATAGCTATAGGAAACAAAGATCAAAACAAAAGCGTATATCGTTATAGATATTTATAATAAATATTCTTGTATTTATAGCTAAAAGTTATTTATGGAAATAACTTATCTTATATTTATAATCCCTTTTTCCATACAACTATTTAATTATTTTAAATTAAAATTAAATTTACCGTTATTGATATTATTTTGTTATTGTTTATTTGAATTTAATCCAACATAATAGAAATAATTATAAGAAGTTTATAAAGAGGTCTTTCATCTTTTACATGTGTATTGACTGAATTTTTATTTTTTTTTTGGTAAAAATATTGACTGAAATTTATTACAAAATACATTGACATGGCAAATTTACGTAACATATACACTCATCTCCTTTCACTTTTTATAAAGGCCAGGTTTTCATTTTATTTGACTTTTTTTCTTCATTTCACATGTACACGTTTTCATAAAATTGGAAATAAGAAGTCTTTAAAAAAATGGAAATAAGAACAATTGACACCAGCATTTAAAAATAGCTCCATATAAATTCTCTATGATGTGTCTATCATTAGATGTGTAAATGAGCTAGGCCAATTTATAGAGACTCCTATATTAGGCCAGCCTTGACCTGTTACAAATAATAAAATAAAACAAGTCTAGGCCTAGGCTTTTAAAAAATCCCATTTAAAAAACAGGCTGTAGAAATTTTTGTACATATCGAGCCTATAAGCTTACATGACGGCCTATATCATATTATTTATTTTAAATAAAATAAATAAAACTATTATTTTAATAATTTTAAATAATAAAGTAATATTATTTTAGTTATTCTTTTAAGGGTTCATTTTTTTTGCAGTTACCGCAGATAACTTATCTGCATTAAGCCAATACGACGTCGTTTTGGGTGGAAATCATGGTGTTTTTGTAATTTTAATTTATTTCAGGGCTATAATAGTTTTTGTATTTATAATTTTTTAAGATTTCAATACCAAAACGACGTCGTTTTGCGAATAAATGCAGATAACTTATCTGCATTAACTGCAGAAACATTTTCCCCTTCTTTTAATTGTTAAATGTTTAATAGGTTTAAACAATCTAACAAGCCTACGTCAAGGCTTTTATTTTTTAAATATAGGTCAGAACATACTTGTAATTTAGAGCCTACATAGACTTACAGGCCAGGGCAGACCTGATGTTTTTTTACACAGACTTAACTTATTTAAATCAAAGCCTAGCCTAGGATAGCCTATATTCACACCCTTATTTATCATTTACTCTTAGTCATGACCATACAGTTGGCTAAGTATCATCAGAAGATGCTTTTTACCACTATGGTGGGTAAAGGACAAAAAAACTATTAATAAACAGATATTTGGTTTCTTTAAAGTGAGAGGTGCACTTCAAAGGAAAAAAATACAGAATTACCATCATGGATTGAGAAAAATAAAGAGAATATATTTTAATAACTCTATAGTTGTAATACATGTTGATATATTTTATGATAATTTTTAACGGTGGATTTTTGAATAGCTGTTCATAGTTGTATCATATTGTGCACTTGAGGGAAATCAAATTCAATAAACACATATATCAATGTAATAGTTATCTCCACTCTTACCAAAATAATTGAAAATAACTAAGTTGTCCCTGCAACGCATTGGATATGTTGCTAAATTTGCTCATACTTATCTCATGTATTACCATACGATAGGACCAAATCCACTATTCAGAGGACTCAAATCAACTAAGTCTATTTTGGGGAAGACAAATAGCGCTTGGGTGGAAGGAGAAGGAATGCTTCATGCTTTGTATTTCAAAAAACAAAGTGACGGGAACTGCGTCGTCGTCTACAACAACCGATACGTTGAAACTGAAACATACAAGCTTGAGAAACACAGTACCAAACCTTTGTTTCTCCCTGCAGTTAGAGGAGATTCATTGGCGGTATTGTCTTCGATTCTGCTAAACCGGGTAAGTATTCTTTTAGAACATTTTGATCCAATGACTAACAAGAACAAATTAGTCTCACTTAAGATTATATTTAGACTATAGTGCCATTTTATTAGGGAAAGATATATTGAATTAACTAAGAATAGCAAGTAGATTTCAAAAGCAACATATATTGATTGATACTCCATTACGCTGGCCCTAGCTATTTTTTCCCAATAGCATTGCATTTATATGTGTAACATTTATTTTTCGCTTAAAGTTGATGGTTTTATAAAAGGGATATGTAGCTCCATGTCACTACAGATGGGAAAAAGTGTAGCAACACTTATTTTTCTCAGGATACGCGTGCGGATCTTGATATTTTTTTTTTTTTAGGTCAGGATACGACCAAGTATCCTAGTGTTAAAAATTTACTGCAACTTTTCTTATAAGCAGTAAAAGGAGAACCGACGAACCCTTTATAAAAATTCTAAACTTCATTAACTTAATGATTTATGAAATCTTAAAACATTTTTGGGGACAATCACCAAAATACCACCCTATTCACACAAAAATTACATAAATGCCATAAATCGATTTTTTTTTTCAAAATGTCACATCACCTAACTCGCTACAACACCTGTCGAGTTAGGTGTGGACAAGTGACAGCAAGTTCATAGTCACTTAAGCCGCTGCTCAGTGCAGCGTGATTACGTGGCAGACAGCTTCTGTCATGCGACATAAAACGCTATGCAATTTGGCGTGTTACGTGTCTAACACGTGTCAAACTCGTTATGTTGTATAGTATGTTACGTGTCATCTTTTTTGACACGTGGCCATACATGTTGTGCTGCATAGCATATTATGTGTAAGTAGCCTAGTAATCTAGTATTTTTGGTCTAATAAATTCACCACTTCCCTTCAATTATGTGCATCATTGGGTTGGGTCTAATAAATTATAGGATAATTTTAATTATTGAATTTTGTATTTTGAAATAAAATGATTTAAGGAAAATTAATATTGGTTTGAATATTTTAGTTTTCAATAACTTATGTTAAAATAATTTAATTTAGGACTATTAATTTAATTTAATTTATGTGTGCTAATTAATTTAATTTAATGTAGAAGTGTTAATTAATTTAATTTAATTTCGTTTATGTTAAGTTAAATTATTTTTAACTATTAAGTAATTTAATTTAAGGAAAAATTTCAAAAATTTCCCTGAAAGTTTCGTCAGAAGCGCTTACCCCTCCCCAAAATTTTTAATCATTTACACCCTTACTTAAATTTTTTTATCACTTATCCCTCTAGCTTGATTTTCCATCCAAAATTAAGGTTAACACAATCAATTTTTAAAAAAAATACCAAAACTATCCTTAAAATAAAAAAGAATTAACACCTGCATTAACTGAACCTTACTGCTGGCAAGAGATAGTCATTGAGGAGTGAAACCGCCGCTGCGAACCTAACCACATTGGCTGCATGGTTGAGATGCCGATCACAAGAAACTCTGGAGCCCTTTGCAAGTTGTGTGTTTCTGGTATTCAGACAGAGAAAATATTCACTTTCATTGCGGAAAAGTAAACAGAATTATATTGCAAGATTTCAATTTACATGACCCCATTATTTGGTGTTTACTGCATGTAGGAAGAATCTTAAGATTAAATACTTCACTAATTAAATATTTCAACTCCCTTTCTTGTTTGCTATTCAAAAAAGATTATCCATATATTCATTTGCTTATTTATAGAGTTGTGCAAGAATGTGCTTTTTTTCTTATCCAAGGGTGAATTTTTCTTTTTTTCTTTTGAGGATAGTTTTGGTATTTTTTTAAAATTAACTCTGTTAACTTTAATTTTGGATGAAAAATCAAGTTAGGGGATGAGTGATAAATAAATTTTAAGTAGAGCTGTAAATGATTAAAAATTTTGGGAGGGGATAAGCGATTCTGACGAAACTTTCAGGGGAATTTTTGAAGTTTTCCCTTAATTTAATTTAGGAGTGTTAATGAATTAAATTAAACTTATCTTTGTTAATAAATTTAGTTTAATTTTGTCTATATAAATTTAAATTATTTTAGAAGTGTTAATTAATTATTTTTAGGAGTGTTAATAAATTTCATTTAATTTAGTTTAAGTTAAGTTAAAAAAAATTGAACTGTTAAATAATTTAATTTAGGAGTGTTAATGAATTTAATTTAATTTATGTTTATTAATTAATTTAATTTAATTTACTTTTATTAATTTAAATTATTTTGGAACTGTTAATTAATTACTTTTAAGACTGGTGAATTTATTAAACAAAAAACGTTGAATTGATGGGCTAATTACACATAATATGCTATGCAACACAATATGTATGGTCATGTGTCAAAAAAGCTTACACGTAACATGTTATGCAGCATAACAAGTTTGACACGTGTCAGACACGTAACTCGCCAAGCTGCCTAGTGTAACCTCCCCGTCTCGAGCCGGTTCAATTAACATACATATGATACAAACAGAAACAACAGAAGACTTAATTTACGAAAATACGAGCTAACTTTTTCTTTAATCCTTTTTCACATGATATATCACATTGCATACTTCTTCTAGTTTAATTATTACTTGACAGAGACGAAAATCGGACAGAGTAACGTCCGTAAACCGGACAAACAGGGATTTGCAAATCTCACTCTCAAGGTATCATGATAAACAGTTTATTCAATATATGATTTCAGGAATACCAGATATCTATTTAGGACCATATACCCATCCATGGGCATATGCATAGCTTGGCTCCTTGCCACTAGGTCTAACAACATGAAATCATACAACTGAATACTACATCATAATATAAACATGCCTGAATACACAATTGTACATGCATCAAAGTGAAAGACATGTACAAAACATATACAGGACATATACAAAGAATGGATCAGACATCATGATCCCAAAATAACAAAATACTGAAACAACAAAAGTATCCACCAAATATCAGTAGCCTACAGCTACTCCAAAAATCTGGTCCTTAGCAACCCCTCTAGCCACTAGTCGTGTCCTTGCCTCATGAGAGCTCACCAGGAATCTGAACACCTGAAATGATGTCCCCAAACAGGGTGAGATAACAAATCTCAACAAGCTCCAGGTTTATAGAGAATTCTCCATACCCCTGGGCCCACTCCTGCATGAAAGTCAGATACAGAATATACAAAGCATTATATAACAGATATCATAACTAGACAAAACATATATACATATCTTATCAAAGGCGTACGCAGTCATTTCCAAGGGAGCACCTCAGGCGAAAATCAACGCACGTGTTACCAGGTAAGGACCCTAAGCGAAACCAGAACATATCAGAGGTGTACACAGTCAGTCCCGAGGGAGGACCCCAAGCAAACATCAGTGCACAATACAATCAATGGCGAGAGATCATTGCAGAAATTATATCAGAACAAATCTTATCATATTATCAAATAGCTCTATATGAATGCATCTATACAAAGCATCAAATACAATCATGCAATCCAACCATAGTCCACTAACCACGATGGAGCACTCAAGAAGGAAAAGACTCCTTAAACATAGAGTTTACCTTTTGAAGCTTTACCAATTTGCTCACTTGTATCACAAGTTACCTATTTGACTCCAAAGGAATCCAAAAACGCTCAGTCCCCTAGGCACACCTAGAGAAGAATCCAAAACAAAAATCAATAAAATGCTACAATGTCATGTAATTACCAGACATATAGTTTATTGTTTACTTTCATTTCTTTACATTTTTGCCAATTTCATGACAATACATAAGTCAAGACCATACTTTCACAAATTCCTTTATTAGACCATTTTAAGGATGATTACATAAACCACAAGCACCCTCATGCTTTCATACTCACATAGGGTCTTAGAATGACTCATCCATGCTTCTAAGATACACTAAAATCTTTATCAATTCCTAGCCCCCAAAATCATACAATGGCTAAAGCCAATACCAAGGGAAACTAGAAATTTTCATCAATTCAGTTCATACCACTAAAGGTTCCTAAATTATTTATGCATTCCCTTTAACAATTTACACCCCACTTAGGCATATTTTCCTTCACAAGGTCGAGGCATCCATACAAGGAACCAAGATGTCTTCCGTCATTTCTTAAGCCTTCTCACTTCAAAATCATACTAAAACCATGCATTAGAACCTACACACATCATCAAAATAATTTTTAACATAATCAATCTCACTTGGACCATCATGGCCGAAATCCCCAAGGAGGTTTCCAACGGATTTTCCACTTTGTATTCTCACTTTCACACTTAAATCTCAACATACCAACCTTCACAATATATGTAATTAAATTTTTGCACACAGAGCCCCTATATGCCCAATATGGCCGAACCTAGTGTGGTGGTCCAAGGGAATTTTTTTCAAAATTTCTATATATGTTCATGCTTATTTCACATTACCATTTCACATACAATGTTAATTCATCAACCAATTCAAATTTCAAACTCAAATATTTTCCACCAAAAGTGCTCTAAGTTTTCAAAGCTTAAATCATACAAATCAAACCATTGGAATGAGGTTTTCTTACCTCAAATCACTTATTCAAGGTCCAAGGAACAAAACTCAAGCTTAGCTCACTCAAAATCCACACTTTTACACTTGGATGAATAGTGCCACGAATTGGAGAGGAGAAGAATTCTTCCCTCGAGCAATTTCAGCCCAAATAAAGTGGTGGAATGGATTCCTTGGATGATTTACTATCAATTTCGTGTAATGAACTTACAGATTTGGATGCTTGTGCAATGAGAAATCAAAGGAAAAAGAAAAGAAAACCTAAGCCCTCCATGGATGAGAAGCTCGGCCAAGAAGAGAGAGAAGGAAGCTTGCTAATGTGAATAGTGACTTTTTGGGAGGAACTTAAGTTTATAATGACATGTGCTCTTTTATCGGTTATTTTTCTCTCGCTTATTTTCACTTAAATTGACCCGAAACTAACTTAAAGCTACGGACATATTTTTATTTTTCTGAACTTATTTACATTAATTTTTATTCCCTAAGGAACCATATTTCAATTCACAGGATGATTTATGCGCCGTTTTTGACGAAATGTACTGTGAATTACTAACTGTGCACTATTTACACACAAAATTGTAGAACTTATAAACTTATCATTCTTAGGTCTATTATGACTTGCTTAGCATATATTGGACTTTCTTATTCTTATTTCATCAATTATTTAGTTCTGGACTCTACCGGCAGAAAACACTATTCATGAAATTTTCACGGAAAGTGCCAGACTATACAATTTTTTGCTCTGAATTCATATTTGGCATTAGAATTTCCAAATTAGCTCTCTAAACTCATTTTACTCCTTCTGACTCTACCGGTTGCTACACAACAATGCAGAACATCCGGCAGAAAGCACTGTTCATGACCTAGTTATGATTACAGTCAAAATACTCGAAATCACACTCTGAATCTAATTATGACATTTAAATCCTAAAATTAAATCTCTAATTAAGATTTACCAAATAGGATCATTATACCTAGCATTTTATGTCGTGTGACAGAAGTTGTTTGTCACGTAATCTCACTGCACTGTGTTACATGGCCATGCACTTGTTGCCACGTGTGCACACCTAACTCGCCAAGTGTTGTAGCGAGTTAGGTGATGTGACATTTTGAAAAAAAAAATCGATATGTGATATTTAAGTGATTTTTTGTGAATAGTGTAACATTTTGGTAGTTGTCCCCCGTTTTTGTCACCTCATTTTTACTTCTTTGTTTTTTGGTAAAAGTTCTTTGAATATCTTAATAACTGAAATTGCCATCTATAAGTTTACTCTAATTAAACTTATCATTAAAATAAAAAAATGAAATAAAAATACCATTAATCTCAAATTTATGAAGTAATATCCATGGGTATTGTCGATATTCTTATATTAGATCAGTCATAATTATTAAACCTTATCTTTTTCAATATTTGAATTTGCATATTTTTGAAAAAAATTATTTTTTTTTAATTTCTCACAAAAAAATTTTATAATAAATTAAAAAAAATATAAGTTAATACGAATATACACTTATATGGTGATGCTTGGTATATCTCCACTAACAATGTTACTACCAAACACATCATCTAAAATCATAAGATGCTTCATAATCGATAACGAAAGTAGTAAACTAAATATTGTTCCTGAATCACTGGTTGTATATATATTTGGCTCCCATGGCTTCGGACACCACCTTTACCATTTTAGGCCATGCATGATGGAAACACTTTAGGGCGTGAAAATTGTTACATAACAGAAAAAAGTAAATTAAGGTTTTTAATTAGAAATTAATGGTGCGTTCTTTTATCTGTTAGTTAACTAGGATTTTTAAGTTTTTCATGGAACTTATAAAAAAAGTAACAAGTGACAAAAATGTTTCATATGTTAATAAAATATTGGTGCGTATTTTTGACGGTATTTAGATAAAGTTTTGGTAGTAGATCAAGTTATTGGTTGGTGGAAGGTCATCTCACGTGTGCAGAGGCGGAGGGAGGTGGGCAGCCCCCCTAAAGTTTCTAGAATTTTTTTTTTTATCAGGGTGGATCTAAAGAATAAGGCAAAAAAAATATTCAAATAACGGCATTACTACTTGTTGTCAAAAACCATCACTTTTCAAAATTCTATCTAATTTCTGAAAATAAGGTTAAGACACCATTAAATACCCCCTTGTTGCACAGGTTATTGTGGGTGAACTTTTTAGAGTTGAGATCATAGAGTGAGAGTGTTATTATGCAGAATTACACTGCCGATTACATTGAGTATCGCCGATTCTAATCTCTTAATTGTGAGTTCTTAATTATTATTATGTTTAGATGTTTACAATAATTTTTGTCAAGTCACACATATGTGGTGCATTCCTTTTGTGTGTCACTGCATCAAACCATGGAGAAGAATTTTGATGCTTCAAGAGCACCATTGATTCAGCGGTCCGGACCAATTAAAATCGGAAGAGAGGAAAGAGCAAAATTATTTTTTTATCAAAGCGTAAGCCCCTTAATAAAAGGAGCACGAAGGTCCGAAGCGCTAAATTTTTTTCCCCAAACCGTGACTTATCCGCGAGATATGAAAAATAAATAGAAAATTCATAAGAAAAAATTCTTAAAGGTGGGCGTACAATGATATGCATTACAGGCTCCTAAAGTACCCCAATTTAGTTAGACATATCTTTTGTATATTTACTTCGGCGTATCTTCTTCTGTACATTGATCCAATGGCACAATCACCAAATTTATTTCTATAATAAAGCTCTAACCCAATTAACTTCGACTTGTACATTTGATTTTTCGCCGGGGGAAAAAATCTTGGTTCTGCCACTGCTCGTGTGATGAATTATCTTCTTGTGGATTTCACAGTTGAGATTTGGAAAATCAAATGAAGATTATAGCAACACCACTGTGATAGAGCATTCAGGCAAGTTCTACTCGGTTACTGATAATCACATGCCACAAGAGATTGACATCTTCACACTTAGTACTTTAAAGGACTGGGATGTCAATGGAGCCTGGAATCGTCCTTTTGCCAGCCACCCCAAGGTTTCTTTTATATATATGAGTCTCACTTTAAGTTTTACGTACAAAATTTTGTTTGCTTAATACAAACAACTTTTGATTTGTTTATTGCAGAAAGTTCCAGGTACAGGAGAGCTAGTTATTTTTGGGGTAGCTGCAACTAAACCCTATCTGGAAGTTGGAATAGTATCTGGTATATATTCTCCAAATGCCAAATAATATTGAGGAAATATTACAGTGCTAATAATTGATTTTGATAGAATGGTTATGGTGGTGAGTAATATCGATAACATTCCTTTTATTAATCATTTTCAGCTGATGGAAAGGAAATGGTTCATAAAGAAGACATAAAACTAGACAGGTGCTCTTTTTGCCATGATATAGGTATCACAAGCAGGTAACATTCGTTATCAAATTAACCACCGAATGGAATTATAAGCCTGTCTATGAGAACTCACTTGTGTTAATTAATATAATTCATCTATTTATGGGTTTTTTGTTTGTAGGTACATTGCGATATTGGATTTTCCACTGACAATAGATTTAAACAGACTACTAAGAAGAGAACCGTGAGTACACAAACACACACATATATATAAGACTATGATAAGGCCACAGAGAATCTCTGTTAATAAATAAGGTTTTCATGTTTTTACATGTAGATTAATCAAATACGAGAAGGAGAAATATGCGAGGATTGGGATAATGCCGCTCTATGGTGATGCAGAATCAATCCATTGGTTTGAGGTGGAACCTAATAGCACATTTCATGTCATCAATACTTTTGAGGATGGTGATGAGGTAACTTATCCACGAAGTAATATTTGAAACTGTCCAAGAACTTTTATTCCAGATTCGCTAATTGAGCAATTGCATGCCTTCAACTTTGATATAATTTCTACATGTTGTACAAGGTTGTAATATGGGGTTGCAGAGCACTAGATGCAATAATTCCAGGACCTGAAGATGGTCTAAATGAAAAGTGGTTCTCTCGTTGTTATGAATGGCGATTAAACATGAAAAATGGGGAGGTTAAGGAGAAATATCTCACTGCACCGCAACAGTTTATGGATTTCCCCCTAATCCATCCAAGTTTCACAGGAATTAAGAATAGATATGGATACACCCAAGTGATTGATCCCATTGCGAGTTGTGCTGCAAGTAATTATTTATAACCCGGTTTCGCTATTCTATTTAACAATTACACCCTTACTTATCGTAAATCTAGATTTTTATTTGATGAAATGGTTTCTGTTTGACTATTTAGACATTCCTAAATATGGAGCTCTGGCCAAGCTACATTTTGAAGAACCATGTTCAGAATTCCTTACGGTAAATTAAAGATGGCTTGCAATGAATTGAAAATCCATATGCTATTGACTTTGTTTTTACTTGAAAAAGGGTATTCTAATATATTATAGAATTGTAAATAATCTGTACAAAGGGTTCTCTATTTATAGAGAATATTTGACCTACTTTTAACCTAATGGGCTTGGCCCAATACAACAAAGAGCTTGGCCCAATACAACAATAAATGACTAAATAAAAACTAAATAATAACTAAATCAATATTATTTACAACACTCCCCCTCAAGCTGAGGAATAAATATTTATCATTCCCAGCTTGCTAGTAAGTTCTTGAAATCTGTCTGAAGGAAGCCCCTTTGTTAATAGATCAGCCAATTGACGCCCAGTGGGAATGTATGGAGTGGTAATCAACCCGCTATCAAGTTTCTCTTTGATGAAATGGCGGTCAACCTCAATATGTTTAGTCCGATCATGTTGAACTGGATTATGAGCTATACAAATAGCGGACTTATTATCACACAGCAGCTTCATAGGTCCCTCACATTTTATTTTGAGATCATCAAGAACAATTTTCAGCCATAGTAATTCACAAATGCCTTGAGCCATAGCTCGAAATTCAGCTTCTGCACTTGATCTGGCAACCACATCTTGTTTCTTACTTCTCCATGTCACCAAGTTACCGCAAAGAAACATGCAATAACCAGTGGTAGAAGGACGGTCAGTCACGGATCCAGCATAATCAGCATCTGTGTAGACTTCTAAAGATAGATTGCCATCACGTCGGAATAACAATCCTTTACCAGGAGTACCTTTAAGATACTGAAGAATTCTCTCTACTGCCTGCATGTGTTTTTCTTTTGGATCGTGCATAAACTGACTGACAACACTAACAGCATAAGCTAGGTCTGGTCTAGTATGGGCCAGATATATCAATTTCCCAACTAGCCGTTGATATTGTCCTTTATCAACTGGAGGACTCTCTTCTTCATAGCCCATCTTGTGATTCTGCTCAATAGGAGTATTAGAGGGTTTACACCCGAGCTTTCCTGCTTCTTTGAGAAGATCAAGAACATATTTCCTCTGGCTGATAAAAATTCCTTTGCTTGAATGAGCTACTTCTATCCCTAGGAAATATCTCAGTTTCCCAAGGTCTTTGATTTCAAACTCAGAGGCAAGCCGTGTTTGCAGAATCTGTCTCTCCACAAAATCATCACCTGTGATAATAATATCATCAACATATACAAGGAGCACAGTAAGCTTCCCATTTTGGGAGTGCTTGAAGAAAAGAGTGTGATCTCCTTGGCTCTGTCTGTATCCTAAGGTCATCATAACCTTAGTAAATCTTCCAAACCAAGCACGAGGTGACTGCTTCAATCCATACAAGGCCTTTTTTAATCTACAAACTTTATTTTCCCCCTTCACAGAATCAAAACCAGGCGGGATTTCCATGTAGACTTCTTCTTCTAACTCACCATTGAGGAAAGCATTTTTCACATCAAATTGATTTATATCCCAATTGTAATGGGCAGCAAGGGATAACAAGATTCTCACTGTATTCATCTTTGCAACTGGAGCAAAGGTTTCTTCATAATCAATGCCATAGGTTTGAGTGTAACCTTTGGCCACTAATCGAGCCTTATATCTCTCAAGAGTGCCATCAGAATTATATTTCAGGGTATAAACCCATCTGCACCCTACTGCTTTCTTTCCGTTGGGTCTATCAATAACCTCCCATGTTTTATTTTTCTCCAAAGCATTCATCTCCTCTTGCATGGCTTGAGCCCAATTCCTATCTTTCAAGGCTTCATGTACTGATTTTGGGATTGCAATAGAATCTAGTGCTGAAACAAAGCTTTTGTGCTGCACAGAAAGATTAGCAGAGGAAACAAAGTGGGAGATAGGGTATTGAGTACAAGAGGGACAGGAGGAACAAGTTTTCTTGTGACAAGATCTTTTTCCTTTTCTAAGAGCAATAGGTAAGTCATCAGAAGTAGAAGCAATGGGTAAGTCATTAGAGATATCAGAAGAAATAGACAAATCATGAGAGGAAATAATATTAGAATCAGAAACAGGAGATTCAGAAGAAATAGGAGATTCAGGACTTACCAGTGGTTCAGACGATTGAGGTTGCTGGTGAGACAATATGGGTTGTATCTCAGGTGTATTTGAAGGTTCTGACACACCAGGAGCAGACACACTAGGAAGAGAGAAGATTGATCCAGACTCAAAGAAGGAAGGGGACGAGTCTTCTGAAGAACTATTCTCCCCCTGACGATGAGGACCCAGGAAATAAGATTCAGATTCTTGAAAGGTGACATCCATAGAAACAAAAAATTTCCGACTTGGTGGATGATAACACTTGTACCCTTTTTTATAAGGGTTATAACCAAGGAAGATACACTTAAGAGCCCTAGGATCCAACTTACTCCGATGTTGTTTATGAACATGGACAAAGGCAACACATCCAAACACTCTTGGTGGAAGGCTCTGCAATATGGGAACAGAAGGAAAGAAGGAAGTCATGGAATGAATAGGACTGATATTGTTAAGGACCCGTGAAGGTAAACGGTTGATCAAAAAAGTTGCAGCTAATACTGCTTCTCCCCAATAAGAACTAGGAACAGATGTCTGAAAAAGTAGTGCTCTAGCAACTTCAAGAAGGTGACGATTTTTCCTTTCAGCAACCCCGTTTTGTTGAGGGGTATCAACACATGTGAGCTCATGAATCATACCTCTGTCTGAAATGAATTGTGACAGGCGTTGATTGACGTACTCAGTACCATTATCAGATCTGAGTCTTTTAATACCCTTACCAAACTGAGTCTCAACCATGTGATGAAACCGAATAAATATCTCTGGTACTTCAGACTTGTCTTTCATCAAGTATATCCATGTTATCCGAGTACAATCGTCAATAAAAGAAACAAACCACCTAGCACCTGAAACACTGTGCACTTTAGAAGGGCCCCAAACATCAGAATGGATAAGAGAAAAAGGTTCTCTGCTTTTAATAGTGCTAGAAGGAAATGACACTCGATGGTGTTTTGCAAATTCACAAACATCACAATGAAAGGTCTCAACCGACTTATTGAGAAACAGAGAGGGGAACATAGACTTCAAAAGACTAAATGGTGGATGCCCGAGACGCTTGTGATGGAGCCAAATCATAGACTCTGCAGTAGAAGGATGACGTGTCATTAATAACTGATTTTTGCTAGCATGGTCTGGAAGGAGATGATACAACCCATCCTGTTCATTAGCAACTCCAATTGTCTTCTTCGTGGTAAGATCCTGAATAAGACAATGAGAAGGAAAAAATGTGATAGAACAATTCAAATCAGTTGTAAGTTTTTGAGTGGAGATAAGATTAGTAGAAAGCTGAGGAACATAAAGAACATTTTTAAGAAACAAGGAAGGTTGAATTTGAATGTTACCAGAACCAATAACTGATTTATGGGATCCATCAGCTACGGATATAGTATGACTACCAACAATAGGATGATAAGAACAAAATAACTCAGTACGACAAGCCATATGATCAGTTGCACCAGAATCCAAAATCCATGAGGTTTTAAAATCAGTGCAAGAAGCAAGAAGAGATATAGAACGTGTGCTCTTACCAGATAAGATCGAAGAACTATCATGCTCAGCCATTCTTTAACAAAAAAAGTTAACAACCAGCGATAAAATCAACCAAACAGAATATCAAATGACCTCTGATCAGAAAAATAATTACAGATCCAGACAGAAGACAAGAAGACGAGAAGAATGGTGGTGGTCCGGTCCAAAAACACGGCCGCACGCGCCTCCACGCGCCGGAGAAAGGAGCTGCGCGTGGGATTCACTCGCCGGGAAAGGGGCGGCGCGTGAGAGCGCGTGGATGGGCTTCGCCGGCTGAGATTTTTCTGGTGTGGTCGTCCGGTGAGCGCACACCTGTCTGTGGGTGGTCGCGGTTGAAAAGTCGCCGGAAAGTGGTCCAAACGGTGAAGACAGATCTGATTGGAGGCGATCGGAGGTGTTTCGGTCGTTTGTGGCGGAGGAACACTGCGTAGAATGATAGATCGGAGGAAAAATAAGGTCAACAATGGTCCCCTTGGTCCAAAAGGTCCCCGGAAAAATTTTCCGGTGGCGGCTAATGACGGCAAGAGGCAAAGAAATTAGGGTTTTGTTAAAAAAGAAGATAATATGTGCGGAAGCAAAGCCCTCAGATCGAGAGCTCTGATACCAACTTGAAAAAGGGTATTCTAATATATTATAGAATTGTAAATAATCTGTACAAAGGGTTCTCTATTTATAGAGAATATTTGACCTACTTTTAACCTAATGGGCTTGGCCCAATACAACAAAGAGCTTGGCCCAATACAACAATAAATGACTAAATAAAAACTAAATAATAACTAAATCAATATTATTTACAACATTTTTATATATATGTTTTTTCCCTTAAACTATTATACAACTTTTTAAATGCTTAAATCAGGGAGAAACACAAGAAGAAGAGCCTATAAGGGTTGAATATCATAGGTTTGAAAGGAATGTGTTTTGCACTGGATCTTCCTTTGTGCCTAAAGAAGATGGTCTTGAAGAAGATGATGGTTGGATAATCACTTTTGTTCACAATGAAGACACCGGCATATCCCAAGTGAGTTCATTCTGTGACATGTATATTATTTTTATTGATCTTGCTCGGAATAGTAATTAATAGTTACATCCTTTTTGTTTTTCTTGCAGGTTCATATAATTGACACAAAGAAGTTTTCTGGCGAGGCAGTTGCCAAAATCACCATGCCTTGCAGGGTTCCATATGGATTTCACGGGGCTTTCATGCCAATCTCATTTTAATATGCAATTTTCTGCGTTGTGTTGTTTACTTATTTTGTATTAATTTGCAACTCTGATCTATGGTACTATTGGTCGTTGATGTACTGTTCATGAGATTGCCTTGTTAAGTTTCAAGATTATGTTATGTCATATCGACGTATAATTGATCCAGGCCAATAATTAACAAGGTCGCTTAACTCAAAATAACACAAAAGCAAGACTTTTGGTAAGAGCAGTATAAAAATGATCTTTTTGTTTTTTGGCGAAAAAAAGAGTTTAGGAGACACTAATCACGATGTTGCTACAATCTAAGGTCAAGGCACATTACTACTAGTGGTGTAACGGATTGAGCTGAGCCGAACTTTGATCTTAAAAGATTAAATCTGTATTTAAAAGTGTCAGCCTCACCGAAACTGTTATTTGTTATAAATATAATTATTTGCATGTAGCCTGACTTATTTACAAAAGTTAAAAGTCTGGTTTAGCCTGTTTAAAAAAGTAAGACAACAAAAATTTATCCAAATAGAATATACAATTAACAATACTAGTAATTTCATAAATATTTATAAATTTAATGTATATCCAAACAGCATAATATAGAACAAAATCATTCAAAAAATATGTTTAACTAATAAAATGGAGTGAAATGGAATGAGGAAAAAGAGAGTGTTATTACAAGTAGTATAAAAAATATAAAATATAAAATAATAATATACTAGGTCGCCTGAGAGCGGGCTCTAAGGCCGAGCTTTTGAGTTGGAGCCTGAGACCTTTTTATTAAATGAACTTTTATACAAGTTCAAGCCTGGTGCCAATAACCAATTCTAGATATATAAACTCATGCTTTCACAAATCGAGCCAAAGACCCTGATTCGTTTAGCACTCCTAATTACTAGGACGATACTTACATGTCCTACTTACGAAAGACTACCATGTCATTATCAAATTAACCTAAAACCTTAGTCAATGCATGATGCATTCAATGCTATCCGTTTAGGTAATCGTCTTTATCAATATAAAATGATTTTTGTCATGTATGTTACTTTTATGGTCCAAGTTGGTCCTTGGCCATAGGGTACGCATCTTGAGGGACCTAATAATATGGTCCAAAATAATAAGCCTAAGTTGCCTTGTCGCCTACTTGAGTCTTTATTAAATATTTCATACTTGAGGCTTATTTTCTTAATATGAGAGAGTTTTTTTATTATCTTTTATTTGTTTTTATTATGAATTGGCATCCAAATAGTTAAGAAGAAACAAGTTTCTCCTATTTCTTTTCCGCTATCAGAATCAATAATTGAAATAAATGACAGTTTCAATACAAAAAGTAAACAATACATAGTCAAGTGTTAACCGGGACAATCGTGAATGGAATTAAGAATTATGCTAAGCACATATTTAGTATGATGGCTATTGTGTAATATGTCAATCATGAAACAACGTTTTTGGATCATAACAGAGCTCCGAGCTGATGCTGTGATGAATGCTTTTGTCCTCATCGATGAGAAGATATTCTTAATTAATTGTCCAAGAAAAAGCACTACATAAACGAACAAACAGATAAAGCTGCCGTGTGGGCCGAGGACTGTTATAGTAAATTAAAAGACAAGATTGAAAGCTTTTGAAATTGTCTGCATTCGTTGAACAAACAGCACTGGAAGATGCTATGCCAAGTATAGGTTTCTTATTTCTACCCATTTATGTTTATTTAGAAAGAAAGAACCCTGAAAAAATTAGTAATCTTCCAAGATCTCCAAAATTAGATGGGTAATATCCTCTATAAGAACCGTTGGCTAGTGTCCATGATGATTCTTTCTCTCCTCTTCAACGTTCAAGCCCAAGACATTTTTGTACAGAACAGGCCAGAATTGCCACAAACTATTCATCCGAGCAAAGGGATTGTGATCACAGTCCTGTCCATAATGTTTACCATAACATTTCTCTTACTTGCCTATGTGAAATTCTGTCGAGATATTCCTCGTGAACTTCTGAACCAAAATCAAAACTTTCATGGACTAACTCGATCAAGGTCTAGGTTTTCTGGGATTGACAGACAAGTAATTGAAACTCTCCCTTTCTTCAAGTTTTCTTCCCTCAAGGGATCCAAAGAAGGCCTTGAATGTACCGTTTGCTTATCCGAATTCGAGGACATAGAGATTCTTAGATTGCTACCAAAGTGCCAGCACGCTTTCCACGTGAATTGCATTGACAAGTGGCTTGAAAACCACTCTACATGCCCTCTTTGCAGGTACAGGGTTGAACCAGGGGACATCAAGAACCTTACTTATTCGTTGAGCTCAAGGTCCCTCCGAGGTCCTTCAAATCTAAATGAGGACCCAAATCTTGAATTCTTTGTCCAGAGAGAGCCATCCCATCGAGGGTCATCAGGATTTGACACTGGAAGTGCCTTTTGGGATAGCAGTGGTGGTACAAAGTGGGAACATGTTCACGAACTCAATCATAAAATAGTCATCTCTGATGTTGTTACGAGGAGCAGGTGGAGTGATCTTAATTCTTCAGACCTTCTATCCTTGAACTGTGAGATGATTCATGATATGTGCAGCACAAGATTCTCTCCTTTGGAAAACACCAGAAATGAAAAGTTTCACGGAACTTCAAGCCTTCCTTCTACTTCCAATGAGGAAGAAAATTCATTTACGGCACTAAATTCTACTGAGAAGAGGTCCATGTCTGACATTGCTAATGTTCCAAGGTTTGCAGAAATCAACAAGCAGAATAGAATCAGAGAATATGTGGCATCTAGTGGGGACAATAGGAGCGAAGAGAGGTTGTGCAGGATTTGGTTGCCAATTGCAAGGCGAACAGTCCAATGGATTGCAAGACAAGAAAGAAATTCAGTTGAATTAGAACACAAACCTTTAGCTTCAAACGTTTGATCACTGTAATGGGATGGGACCAAATAGTAGGTACTGTGTATACTATGTGCTGTGTGCACATGTTGATTGTCGGTGTAAGAGAAGGTGGTAAATTAATGAAACAAGAGAAATATCTTTTGCTCTAATTTGTGCTCGTCTGATTTTACAGTCACCATATCATATAATTAAGCATACTTTTTGAAAAAATAAAATAAATGGTTAGTGTCTGATCGAGAATCTCTCCTTGTTGTAAGATAAGGTCAAACTTTCAACTTTTACAAGAATTTACATTAAAGGGCCGACCCAGTTCAAATACCCACTTCGTGAGTGTCTAGGGAAGGGAATACTCTAGGCCGTCTTTTCCCTGCTTTTTGCAGATAGGCTGATTCGAACCCGCTACCTGACACACCACGGCAAGCAAGCTTACCGCTGAGCAAAGCCGGCCCTTCTTACAAGAATTTACATTGATATTAAATTTTTCAATTTAATTTTATGTTATGCACTTATCATGAACATAAGGTCAACTAAATAGACTAACACGTTATCAGCATAATACTTATTAGAATTAGGGTTACACACGTTAAGAATTAACCAGTTTATTAAATTTACATTGATTTACTTTACAACTCATCAATTATCTTAGAGAGAAGAAAATTTTGAATATTTTTACAATAATTTAATATTTAAAACATAACATAAACATGTCATATAAAATTATTTTTGTTTGGTAAATAATCTGGCCGAAAACTACATGGAAGATGTGTCTGGATAAACTTAAAATAAAAAATGCTATTCTTTTTAAAATTATAATTTGTAAAAAACTAAAACATTTTTTTTAGTTTTAACATTTTTATTTAAAAATATCTAATTATTTTTAAAAATATTAAATATTTTAATTTAAAAAGTAACCATTTTTGGGAAAAAAAATGCAAGTACAAACACAATTGCATCATCTTTGTTTCCATTGGTGGAACTGGAACTTCCAAAATACTAAGTCCAACTCTTGCTGCAGATAACGGCCAGTCTGTCTGCACATTAGTTTTGCTCCCAGAAGGCGTGGCTAATACTGAAAAACATTAAAAAAAATTAAAAAAAAAAATTTGTATAGTAAAGATCTTGCAACTCAATTGAAAGTGGCCTCCACATATAAAAAAAGAAAAAAAAAATTGTTTTGTAATTTTATAATGGAATTTAGATTGTTTGATGTATTACTTTCAAAATTCGTAAAAGTATCTCATCCAAATGGTGTTATTTTATCCAAGTTCACTGTTGAGTAACGATTGAATAGCATTTTAATTGCTGATCAACCGCATGAAATGCAGCCAACTGTCCCTGTTGGACGCTACGCTATAACAACAGTTGCAACGGAACCACCCAACTCTGTCTTGGATTTAGTAACAGAGCCTACCCTATATATAACCTCTTTCTTACCGTTTCTGATTCTGTAGCCGCACCAAAATTCATTGTTCCTACGATAGTTTAATGTTAATTACACTTTATCTGCTGCTAATCCAGCAGTGTTCTTCCACAAATAACTACATGAACCCATTTGGCCCTTTAATTTGCAGGGGACATTTGCGTTCCAACTACTCGAGGTAATGTTGAAGTTTCAACCATCATTTTAGGGTTTTATTAGTGTTATGTTACATGATTTAAGTGTTGTTTCCAACACACACATAAATGGAGAGAGAGAGTGGAATGATGAAAGAGAAAGAAAAACATATAGACCCCACCTCTTTAACGTGTGTGTGAGAAAGTGATGTTATATCATGTTACATGATAAACATAAAACTCATCATTTTAACTTGGAACAAAAGGAATATGAACTTCCACATTGGGTAACCAATACGCATGTAAAAGAACCACTTCAACTCAAAATTTTAAGGTGTTGAGTGAAAGTTTTTTTAATGATTTATATTATTTTCTAACTTTATAGTCACTGAAGCTCTGATACTACGTAAAAGAACTACTTCAACCCAAAATCTTAAAATATTAGGTGAAGATCTTTTTAATGATTTCTAACCACACAAAATTCAATCTGAACATCAAAATCCTATCAGCCATATTAATAGAAATTAGAAAGTTTCTATGGAAGCTGGCCCGCCTCATGATAATGATATATATCATAACTACCCTATTGATACTATACCTAATCAGGCCGAACAAACGAGAGGATGGCTATAGTAAAATTTTGCGTGCTAGGATTATTAGAGATAATTTTATTTTATATATATAAAAGTATGTAGGATCATGTGAAAGAGAAGAGAAAAAAAAAATAACATGAACTCACGCACTTTTATGTATATCACTAGAAGTGTAAATGGGTCACAACTTGTCAGGAACCTACAACTTATCCTATTTTTAGTCTGACTTAACTTAGCCGTTTTAAAAATAGTACAAGCTTTGGATTATCAAAAGTTTTGTTTAGAAATAAGGCCTCAAACCAATTTTAGCAAGCTTGCTAAGACTCCAAGGCTCATATTTTATCAATAATATTTTATATTAACTTTAATAAAATATTATCTTATTATTTTTTAATAAATTAACATATTTTTATTTTTTAATAACATAATATCTTATTATTTTCTAATAAAAAAATATCTTATAATTTTTTTAATTTTTCGCAATCTTCCCTCTTCTCACTTGGCGCATATTTTGTTAACTCTAATTTTTTAAATTCCTTCGTTGTCACCATTCTTCTCCTTTCCTTCATTCGCCAAATTTTGTTACTCTTCTCCCCTTTTTTAATTTTTATTTCCTTTCAAACCATCAATCACTCACCATCGACTCTCAATACTTTCGCAGCTGATAGTAAGTCCTCATTCTTTGTACTTTTTGCTCTCTTTTTTCTCATTGACAAAATTGTTTATTTCTAAAATTTCTATTAAAAATTTGACTTATAGGTGTTGTATGCATCTATATATCTTGTAAGCATTCTACTTCCTTGCCATTTTTTTATTTTTGATTAATTAAATGGTTAATATTTTGGGTTGTTGTGTGCATAAAAAAACATTCCATCAAGTTAAACATACAAAAAAAACAAAATAATTATAACCTATATCTTACAAAGTACAACATGCCTTTTTTAAAGGATTAATTTAATAGGCTTACTTAGTCAAATCAAGTCTTGTATTTTTTAAAATCAAATCAGGTCAAGCTTATAATTTGGCTTGTATAAGACTAACAAGTCAAACCAAGTTTGAAATAATTTACACAAATCTAACTCATTTAGGGCCTGATTGGATGAACTTTAAAAAAATGACTTTTTATGCATTGTTTTTTTTAAAATAACTTTTTTTAAAAGGTAAAATTATTTTTCGTTTGGATGTATGATCTGAAAATCACTTTTACTTAACAAAAGTTATTTGGGTGTTAAAATAAGAAAAAACACTTTTTATATATAAAATTACAATAAAAGAGAGATAAAATTGCATGATCATGGAATAAGGAGAGATAAAATAAGTATGATAGGATAAGGTTAAAATTATATTTTAAAAATTTATATTATCTGCAAACAACTACTCGCTATAAAAAAAATAGCATTTTAACTTTTATTTTAAATTTTACTTTTTTAAAAAGTTGTTATCCGAACATTTAAAAATTCTTAAAAGGACTTTTATTTTTTATTTTTTAAAAAAAAACTTTTTTAAAAACAAAAGCTCATCCAAACGGGCACTTAGACTAAAGTATGTCTTGGTCTAACTTATTTACATCCCTATTTGCATGTTATCTTAATAGTCTTTTAAAATTTCTTGTTACCGAATTAGTAGTTCAAAGATGGGCTTTATTAATTTCATGCAATAAGAGATAAGCTTGCTCATGCTATAGAGACAATCATATGTAGGACCCACCCACTTATAAATAAAAAAAAAACATGAAAATTGATGTATATGTAGGAAAGAAAAACACTCTCCTATAATAAAAGAGTATATTTTTCCTTCAAATATTTAAAATATTATGGACTAAAGTGATAATAAAAAATAAATATAGTAACTATTTTTTATTTTTAAAGAACCAAAACAAATAATCTTTAAATGACATGTGCTATCAGGATATTAATTAAATCTTTAATTAATTATGGGCACTAGCAGGACCACATGGGAAAAAGGACTCATTTCATTATACAGTTGAAAAATTGAAAAACATTTATACCTATGTACTAAAAAAAAAGAGAAACAGATATAGCTTGATAAATACATCACCCATATTGTGCAAACCCTTATTATATTTGTTAATTCATAGCTCAACGCTCAGGTGTAAAGACCCTATTTCTAGTCTCTCTTAACCTGCAATATTTCTTATGCCATGGATTTCAATGGCAAGAGAACCCTCCTTAATATGATGGACATGGAAAAGACAGAACAGCAATCCCCCATTCACCTTCGCATCCAAACCCATAGAGAGATAAATGAACAAGATCATGTTCAGTTGAGTTCACCAAGGCCTTCAAGCATTGATGGAACAATGTTTCCAATGATGTCCACCCCATGTCCAGAATCACCATGGACACTTTCCCCTCTTCAAACTCCTTCCCCTTCTCTGCTTTACCACTGCATCGCTTCCCTCCACCGCCACGAAGGTAACATCTATGCAATTGCAGCTTCAAAGGGTTTAATCTTTACGGGCTCCAACAGCACCAGGATTCGTGTATGGAAGCAACCAGATTGCATGGACAAAGGGTATCTCAAAGCAAGCTCTGGTGAGGTAAGAGCCATTTTAGCTTATAGTAACATGCTTTTCTCCACACACAAGGACCAAAAGATCAGGATATGGAACTTCACGGTTAATTCAGAAAACTTCAAATCCAAGAAAGTAGGTACTCTTCCTAGAAAAACCTCTTTTGTATTGTTCCACAGGGCAAAGAACACAGCCAAACACAAAGATTCTGTTTCCTGCATGGCTTATTACCACTCAGAAGGGCTCTTGTATACTGGCTCTCATGACAGAACAGTGAAAACTTGGCGTGTCTCGGATAGAAAATGTGTGGACTCATTTGTTGCACACGAAGATTGTATAAATGCTATCTTGGTGAACCAAGATGATGGTTGCCTTTTCACTTGTTCCTCTGATGGGTCAGTGAAAATATGGAGAAGGGTATTCACAGAAGGCTCTCACACACTCACAATGACACTCAAATTCCAACCTTCCCCTGTGAATGCACTGGCATTGAGTTCCTCGTTTAACCATTGCTTCCTCTATTCAGGGTCTTCGGATGGAATGATAAATTATTGGGAGAAGGAAAGATTGTGCTATAGATTCAACCATGGAGGGTTCTTGCAGGGTCACCGTTTTGCTGTTCTTTGTTTAGCAACGGTTGGGAACTTGATATTCAGCGGTTCTGAGGACACAACAATAAGGGTATGGAGAAGAGAGGAAGGGAGTTGCTACCATGAGTGTTTAACAGTTTTAGATGGACATAGAGGACCAGTGAGATGCTTGGCTGCTTGCCTTGAGATGGAAAAAGTTGTGATGGGTTTCTTGGTTTATAGTGCTAGTTTGGACCAAACATTTAAGGTTTGGAGGATTAAGGTTTTGCCTGATGAAAAAATGTGCTTGGACGACTACACTACTGATCAGTGTGAAGCTAGAGCGAAGATGTATGCTATGAGCCCTGTTTTGTCACCTTCATGGGTAGAGAAGAAACTTCAAGGTAGCCACTTTCAGTAATCACGTAACTAATTATTAATAAGTATTACTTGTCAGTCACCGTGCATGTGCCATTATTGGTGTTATTTGTCTTGTAATGTCTTCTGCTCTTCTCTTATGCATATATAGATATTTAGGAAAATATACCGAACTTTTTAATTAGTTCAGAACAAGTTTTATTTTAAATAGTTTAATAACAATATTTTATAATAGAAATAATATACTATGCAATGCATAGAACTAGTTCAGGATGTAATTTACTATCGCATTAATATAATGAAAATTAAAATGAATGAGCTCCTGTGCGGTGTATGTATATCTGTTTTTTTTTTAGCTTCTGGCCATGGCTTTCCAGTTCCGTCTATTAATTAGGCAAGGCCACGTCACTCATATTTCCTGGGTTTGGCTTGGAATTATTGGTAGAGCCATTAAATGCCACCGGAGTAGCAGGTACCCTATATAGCATAACTATAACAATTATGATCATCCATTGGTGGCCGTCACATATCATATAAAAATATTGGATATGTTATTTTATCTATCATTTTTTTGTCTATCTTTATCTATCACTTTCTAACACTGTTAAATCAGAATCTTAAGATGAGAGAGAAAGATTAGTTAAGATTCTTATCTAATGATATTTTAAAGTGATAGACAAATGTAGGCAGAAGAAGAGATAGATAGAATAACATATCCCTCAAAATAAACAAAAAAAAAAAAGGGTGCTACTTTAGTCACCTAAAAAATTTTCTTATTAATCATTAATTCTTAAATTCTTAAATCTTAATACTAAATCCCTAAAATACTAGTTTTGGTTCCTCTAAAATTTTAGTGTATACGTTTTGTTTCTGTGCCTTTTTTTTTTAAGTGAGTTGGTGTGTCTTTATGTATATATGTTAAAGAATAAGAATAGTATTTATTACATGTTTTAATTATTTAAAGAAAATAAAGATGAGCGCGACAGTAAGGGGAAGGGGTAGGTGATTTATATAAAGGTAGGGAGGGGGAAGGGGTAGGTGATTTATATAAAGGACGAGTAAGTGACATGTGATAGCCTTTGAAGAGTCTAAGGCTGCTCTATAGATCAACACAACCACATATATTTTTCATTTATAATATGACATATGTTTTATTTTTATTAAATTAGTAATAAATAATTTATTTTAAAATTAGTGAGAAAGTAAATAAAAATATATAATATTATGAGTGAAAGATGTAAGAAAAAAAAACTCAACTTAAAATATTCTCCTATGAAGAAGACACTAGTCTAGGTGGGGGTGGCATTCTACGATACGCAAGTCCAGGCTGCACTTTGTGAAATGTCACGTGAACAAATATATTTTCCGAGCACTGACACATGCTACTTGTGCGGGAAAAAATTATAAAGAGAGATGTTATTGGTGCTATATATATAAGGTGGTGAACATAACTAACATTTTGCACAAAGAATATACCTAACCTAATTGAACAAAATAGCACATTTTAATTTATTTCTTTTTACTGTTATGGTTTTCTACCCGTAATAATATCATGACTTATGTGGCTACAATTTTCTGATAAATCCTTGCTTGCTATACCGAAGCGTGTGAAGTGTAGACATCACAACACAAGATGACAATATAAGGAACATTGCTGCAATAAGATTCGGTCATTGACGTTCGGTTACAGACCCTACACTGCTACACATGGTGCCAGCTCTAAAATGAACTAGACGTTAATTTATGCACGAACTTTCGTTGATCTTATTGGGGGAAAGATCTATCATTAATATTAACTTATTATAGATAAATAGATCTTTCCAAACATACATACACAAAATATTAGCTAAGTAAATCCAGCACAGAAGTACGTACATCTGGGCAAAATGAAGTGCAAGTTCGTAATCCCAATTAAATCCTAATCCTATTATCTTTCTTCATCTGCATGGAGTGGAACATGAGATCGGTCAATGAAGAAAGTCTCATAGATGAAACCTGCAAGGCCACCACCAATGAGAGGCCCAACCCAATAAACCCAGTTACCGGTCCAATTCCCACTAACCAAGGCTGGCCCGAAAGATCTTGCTGGGTTCATAGAAGCCCCTGAGAATGCCCCTCCAGCAAGGATATTGGTCCCCACTACAGACCCAACCAGTATTGGCCCAATCCCAGGAAGTGTTCCCTTCTTGGGATCCACCATCGTACCATACACAGTGAACAACAAAGAGAATGTCAACACAATCTCCCAAATTACTCCTTGCGTATACCCCACTCCACGCCCCAGCGCGTGAACTGGAATTGTCTGCAGACGTATTGCACAATTAAAAAATATATATATTTTTTGTTTCTAATCAACAAAATAAAATGGGATTAATAATTATTATATATAGGAAATAATTTTATCTTCTTACACATAAAAATATGTGTAATCTATATTTTTTCTCTCTTTTTTCTTCAGATGAGTTCCACCAATTTTTATGTGTGTAGAAGATAAAATTATTTTTTAAATATTAAGCTCATATATAATATGAGTTTAATGTTTATTATATTGTAAAAGATAAATTTATTTTCTATATATATAAAAGTGTATGAGATATGAGTTCACAGACTTTTATATATATGTAAGATATAAATTTATTTCCTACACACTACACCAGAAACACTGAACCCATAAAATATACATAAAAAGCGAAATTTTGATGAAAGTTTCTCTAAAAATATGTGTGGACAATTAATTACCCGTCCCCCCGAGAGGTAGTAAAGCAAATAAGAAGCAGCAGCAGATGCTACTAATTGATCAATCCAATAAAGGATGGAACGGAAGACGGTGATGTGACCGCCGGCGAGGAGGCCAAGGGTGACGGCGGGATTGAGGTGGCCACCGGAGATGTGGGCGGCGGAAATCATCACAGCCACCACAAGTCCACTTGCCACGGCCTTAGCAAACAAGCCCACTAATGCATCTCCACCTAGCTTGTCTATTAGTAACAAAAAGAAAAACAATGTGACCCAAAAAAACCAACATAATTAAGTGTTAATTCATAATTCTATTAAGTTACATAACAATTTTTGAAAGGGAAGGAAAGAAACAAGAAAAAAAAAAACAAAAGATGGCATTAATTATAAGATGTAATTAAGAAGGTGAGTGATGTGATGCATACCGACGGCCATGGCAGAACCGACGCCAACAAAGACAAAGAGGAAGGTGGCGATGAATTCAACGACGAGGGCTTGAATGCAATCTGGTTTGGTGGCTTCTTGGGTGGTTCCCATAGCGATTTTGGCCATGGCAGCTTAATTACATTCGCTTCTCAACGGCCGAATCAGTAATCACTTAATTCCCACACTTATCAGTGATCACAATTCACAACATCAAAAGAGATGGAACGATAATCGAAGCAACCAATTATATATTCAAACAAAAGCATATCAATATTGCGTCCAACCTTTTACAATGCTTCGGCGCCTAGCAGCTGGTTGCTGCTTTCCCCCGTTGACCTTTTATAGTAATTACTATTATTATTATTAACTAGTTTACTAGATTTAAAATCTTTTATTACTTAGATAGTTATAAATTAAAATATTACTAATTATTATTAAATGAGATTCCTTTTGTTTAGTATCATTTTTTCTAAACATCATTATTGCCCATTTTTAACAGATATAAAAAAGGTTTCGCTATTCCTGCACCGCAGATAAGTGCAGATAACTTATCTGCAATAAGTTTAATACGATGTTGTTTTAGCACGGAAATCATCGTGATTTTATAATTTTAATTTTTTTCAGGGTTATAATAGTCTTTATATTTATAATTTTTTAAGATTTCAATACCAAAATGACGTCGTTTTAGGAATAAATACAGATAACTTATCTGCATTACAGAATTATTTTTCTCTATAAAAAATGATAAATTACAACTTACAAGCATGAAGCATTCCTTACTCTATACACTTCTAGTCTTCAGCCACCCCTCAAATTCAAACTCTGCACTTACAAAAAAAAAAAAAAACAGAGAGAGAGAGAGGATAAAACTCTAGAGCTACGATTACTATTGACTTCACCTAAGAGTTTATTTTTAATATATCTATCATAGGTGGTTCCACCCCTCTCCTTCATCTGTTTCCTTATCCTCCTTCCCTTCGGTCTGTACCATCTGCATCAGTCTCGTGCATCCTCACTTCCATATGTATTCTGACAAAGATATTTCACATGTGTGCTTTTCTCCTTTCAAACCGAAGCTCCTATATAGTTATACTTAGGTTTCTTGCTCTTTCTGCACTTGATCTTCCTGTAGCTCCCATCCTCATAGGGCACAAGCATTGAGATCATAAATCATTAATTATTCTGTATTTGTATTTTTTTTATGAGTTCGCTTTTAGTGCAGATAAGTTATCTACAGTAAATTCAAGACGACGTCATTTTGGGGAATCATGGTATTTTTATAATTTTAATTTATTTCAGGGTTATAATAGTCTTTATATTTATAATTTTTTAAGATTTCAATACCAAAACGATGTCGTTTTGAAAATAAATACAAATAACTTATCTGCGTTAAAAATATTTTTCCCTTTTTTTGGTTTAACTATTGTAAAGGAGGCTTCTTATTTTAAAATTCGATTTTTAAAGTATCATTATTACTCATTTCTTAAAATTAAAAATTAATAATAATAGAGAAATGTTTATTACCATTTATTCTTATTACCTGTTTGGTTACCATTGTATCAATTTAAAATCAACCTTTTTTTCAACTGTTAATTTCAAATTGAGTCAGTTGAAACTAAATAAATAATTAAGAGTGATAAATCTAAAATAATAGTAATTATAATTAACTGCCTCGTAATTATATACACTTCTTATTCCATACTTCAACGAAAAAAAGAAAAACGTCTGACTCTCTACGTTAACATCTTATTTTTTTATAAAATACTAGGGTTACCTAATATCCATTTAACCAAAAATTAAATTTTGGTATATTTATCATTTAAAAATAATAATTGACTGAAAATACCAGTAAATACCGGAGATAAATTATGATTAGTTTTT